TGGGATTCTCTAATTTAGGCTCAGGGTCTAACAGTAACCTGTTTTTCCAGGCCCAATGCATCTGGCAGCATCTGGGCATGTAATTCTGGGAAAAAAGGGTTCCTGATTAAAATTAATGATTAAAAATAATGCCAGCACCCCAGCACCCCACCGCAGAATTAAAGCCATCATTTTGGGCTTGGACTTAACACTTTATCTCTCAGGTTAGCAACTGTAAGCTAAAGAAAGTTGCGTATTTGCATTCATTTTTGCACGCATAGCAGTGAAGTTAAATTTAGTTTGTAAAAAAACCTAAAAAAATACAATGTGAGCATACAAATCAGGCAGTTTTGTGAGGCTCAGTAAACATAAAGGAAGCAGCATTTTAATCAAAATGAGGAATTGCATCCTAATCACCCCTGAGCACATGCATATTTCATAAGTACATGTTCTGCAGAGCAAAGGCTGTGTAAGGAAGGGGCTGCTGATGCTCAGCTCTCGTCTCTCGGCTCTCTGAGCCCTAGCCAGGCTGGCTCTGCACAAACCCAGCCTGATGGGAGCCCTGTCTGCTCGTGGCTGTGGGAGATGTTTGATAAAACAAAATCAACCAGAGCAGCAGCCGGGCTGTGGGGAGCGATGCTGGGGAAGATGGAACAGGAAAGCCTTATAAATATGATTGTCTGGCAAAAGATTTTGAGAAATGGAGACTATAAGTGAGATTGAAATGAAAGTAAGCTTTGAGATCCCTCAGTTACTGAACAACTGGAAAACAATGGGGTGGCCAGCTGAAGGTGATCCCCTTTGGATGGAACAATTCCCTCTGCTTGCAGACAGGCCCAAGGGTCAGAGCAGACTCTACAGCTTGGCAGAAGGGGCCCAAAGAGGAGTTTTTAGGGTTTGAAATGTAACACAGTGTGGTGATGTAGTGATTCTTATAGGCTGTATGGAAATGCTGTAGGATTTGTGTATTGTACTAGATTGGTTAGTGAGAATTAGAATATTCAACACAGAAGAAGATTTATTGTATTGTAACAGGAACCTCGCTCTCTTAGCTCTTGCCCCTCTTACTCTTTTACCTTTTTTTCTCTCTTATGCTTTGGCTCTCTTGCCTTTTTTGCTCTCTTACCCTCTCGTCCTCTCTCCCCCTCTCTTCTCTCAGGCCTGCTCTGAGCTGTGGCTGCAGCTCCCACAGGGCCCTGCACCCAGGCCCTTTGCAATGAACCCCAAGTTCCAAAACCAGAAGATTTATTGTATTGTAACAGGAACCTCGCTCTCTTACCCTTTTACTCTCTTACATTTTTGCTCTCTTACTCTTTTACTCTGTTACCCTCTCATCCTCTCTCCTCCTCTCCTCTCTCAGGCCTGCTCTGAGCTGTGGCAGCTCCCAGCAGGGCCCTGCACCCAGGCCCTGTGCAATGAACCCCAAATCCCAGCAGGGCCCTGCACCCAGGCCCTCTGCAATGAACCCCAAATCCCAGCAGGGCCCTGCACCCAGGCCCTGTGCAATGAACCCCAAATCCCAGCAGGGCCCTGCACCCAGGCCCTTTGCAATAAACCCCAAATCCCAGCAGGGCCCTGCACCCAGGCCCTTTGCAATAAACCCCAAATCCCAGCAGGGCCCTGCACACAGGCCCTTTGCAATGAACCCCAAATCCCAGCAGGGCCCTGCACCCAGGCCCTTTGCAATAAACCCCAAATCCCAGCAGGGCCCTGCACACAGGCCCTTTGCAATGAACCCCAAATCCCAGCAGGGCCCTGCACCCAGGCCCTCTGCAATAAACCCCAAATCCCAGCAGGGCCCTGCACGCAGGCCCTCTGCAATAAACCCCAAATCCCAACAGGGCCCTGCACCCAGGCCCTCTGCAATGAACCCCAAGTTCCTGACCTGGCTTCAGAGATCTCTCATCTCTGTCTGTCCTGACCAAGCTACCCCCTGACACTCTGACAGAGCAGCACAGAGCTCCGTGCTGCCAGAGCTGCTCCCTGCCCATGCCTGGGCAGGGCAGAGCTCCCAGGTCCCTCCCTGTCCCCAGGTGATGCTCCCAGGAGGGGCTGGGTGTCCCCAGGGATGGGGACTGGCTGTCCCAGGGATGGGGACACTGCTTTACCCACAGTGACACTGATGGACTCCACTCCCCTGTGAGCACAGAGCCCAGCTTGTCATCAGCCCCAGGGAATAAGATGAACACATGAATTGAAAAGATTCAGTGTTTGAAAACACTCTGCCTCCTTCCCAAGCATGATTTCTTTAATCTTTCTCTGAAACCTTCGTCTCTGGGGCAGTGAGCCATGGTTTCCATCTAGGCTGGTGAAGGAGGGTGTTTGTGGCAGGGCTTTCCATGCTGACACACTCTGTCCAGCCTGGGCTGGCACCCAGCCTGGCTCCTGCAGTCTGTCACTATCTGAGTCCCAGAAACCTCACATCAGAGAGGCTGGAACCGTCCCTGCAGCCCAAAGGCTGTTTGCTAAGTGTGATTTTATCGTCTTTGGGACGTTTCCCCTCACAATCTCATTAAAGTATTCATGAGTTCTTTCTCTTGACTGGAATCATTAATAAATAGTTGATGTCGGAGGCATAGCTCTGCACTTCCTTTCTGGATGGATCTTTCTGTATTCCACTTGTTTAGAATCTGACACCTCCTGATCAGGGTGCAGAGCTTTGTCTTGTATATATCATATATATATATATGTATAATTATATATTATATATAATATTCCACATGTTCCGAAGTTGACACCTCCTGATCAGGGTGCAGAGCTTTGTCTTGTATATATCATATATATATATATGTATAATTATATATTATATATAATATTCCAAATGTTCCAAATCTGACACCTCCTGATCAGGGTGCAGACCTCTGTCTTGTATATATTATATTATATATAGTATTCCACATGTTTCGAATCTGACACCTCCTGATCAGGGTGCAGAGCTTTGTCTTGTATATATTATATATATATATATGTATAATTATATATTATATATAATATTCCACATGTTCCCAATCTGACACCTCCTGATCAGGGTGCAGAGCTTTGTCTTGTATATATTATATATATATATGTATAATTATATATTATATATAATATTCCACATGTTCCCAATCTGACACCTCCTGATCAGGGTGCAGAGCTTTGTCTTGTATATATTATATATATATATGTATAATTATATATTATATATAATATTCCACATGTTCCGAATCTGACACCTCCTGATCAGGGTGCAGAGCTCTGTCTTGTCAGGTGTTCCTCCCCTGAGCATCCCTTCCTCAGACACACGTGGAACTCCGCCCCTGCCAGGGCACTTCCCAAGGCACAGATTCCCAGGAATTACAGCTGGGGGCAGCCCTGGAGCCCAGGCTGAAGGTTCCTTATCAAATGCAGGGTGTAGGTAAGAGCAGTGCTAACCAGCAGTGTTCTTACACATGTTCCTGGTTCTCCAGAGGCAAAATTTGATTCCAGACCTTTCAATCTGTTGTTAAAACTCAATTTGATCACACTCCTGGGGCTGAGTTTCCCAGTCTGCTCCCTGTGCCTTGCTTGGAGCTGGGTGAGAGAGAAGGTGGTGGGGGAGTAAAGATGGAGCAATGAGGGGCTGAGACAACCCACGGCAGAGCTCCTGGGAATGCACAGCAGGCAGGGAAATGTGCAGCTTTACACATGGCTCTTGCAGACATCAATTTTATCGTTATTGGAGAAGGTCCCACGTACACAGCTGATTTTCTGCTGCTTCCAGATGGGGTCACAGCTGGGTCACTCCAAGCATATGCCCTCTTCTATTTTATTCCCTCCCTTCAGAAAGGGATAACTGTTTCCTCAGCAGTGTGGATGCTACCTTTAATCCTTCCTGTGCAGTTTCCCACCGTGGTGTGCTGTCACAGACTGCACAGCATTGTCTTTTTCTCCAACATGCCCCAGACATTTTGGAGCCTCCACAGCAGGAGTGGTTCCTGAGCAGTGTGGCATGGCTGGGTTTGCTCAGTGCCGGGTGTGACCTCGCTGCCATCCTGGGCTGACATCCTGGGCTGATAACCATGGCAGTGACATCCTGGGCTGGTATCCTGGGCAGTGGCATCCTGGGCTGCCATCCTGGTCTGATATCCCGGGCTGCCATCCTGGGCTGCCATCCCGGGCTGACATCAGCCGGCATTGCTCGGCGGAGGTGTGGCTTGGCGGGGACACTGATGCTGCCGCTCAGCCGGGAGGGGCCGGGCTGGCAGCGTCCCTGCTGCCGCTCCATCCTCCGGCACCGCTCCATCCTGCGGGCACGGCTGCTCCCGGCACGGCTGCTCCCGCTCCATCCTGCGGGCACGGCTGCTCCCGCTCCATCCTGCGGGCACGGCTGCTCCCGCTCCATCCTGTGGGCACGGCTGCTCCCGCTCCATCCTGCGGGCACGGCTGCTCCCGCTCCATCCTGCCGGGCTGGCAGCACCGCTGCTGCCGCTCCATCCTGTGGGCACGGCTGCTCCCGCTCCATCCTGCCGGGCTGGCAGCACCGCTGCTCCCGCTCCATCCTGCGGGCACCGCTGCTCCCGCCACAGCTCCCGCAGCTCCCGCAGCCTCTCCCGATGCTGCTCGGGCTGCCCCAGCCCGGGCACGGCCGCGCTCTGCCCGCTGCAGCTCCGGCAGCTCCCGCAGCCTCTCCCGGCGCTGCCCGTGCTCTGCCCGTGCTCTGCCCGTGCTCTGCCCGTGCTCTGCCCGCCGAGCCGCGCTCGGCAGTGAGGCAGCGCCTGCCATCCGCCACGGGGACACCCGAGCGGCCCCAGTTCATCTGACAGCACCGGAACGATCTTGAAGAATTCAATTTCTTTTTTTCAGCGCCTTTGCTGCTTCATTGTTGCCTGGCTTTTTGACAGCATGAGTTCTGGTGATTAGGGGTGATGCCACCCGAATATTTCTTCATCAGATGCCGCAGGAGAGAGTCTAGGAAAACAAAGAAACTTGCGATGTGGAGCTGACAGTTCTGGTTTCAGCCGGTGAAAACTTGCAGAATCGGTGAGAAGGCAAAGGAAAACATGCCCAGGACAATGTCAGTGACTCCTGGTAATTTGTCACTCAATGGGACGAGCTTCTTGACGGAGCATCACAGCATTCTGGACAAGCCCAGTGAGCAGAGAACTTGGAATGTCTTTCTGTTCTGCTTGACTCTTGCCATTGCACTCCCAGCCCTTCTGGGCAGCATTTATTCACTGGTTTCCCTGCTGAAGCTGCAGACCAAAAGCACGGTTTCGTGGATTGTGACCTCTGTGGCAGCAGATGATCTGATCAGCATCGTGCCAGTGATTATTTTCATGCTCATGCAGTGGTCAAGTGAAGTCCTCCCCCAGCCTCTGTGCACCACCTCCGCGTTTTTGTATTTATTCCAGGGCATTTCTAGCAACCTGAAAGGGTCTCTTATCGTTTCCTACAACTTCTACACCCTCAGCACGCCGGGGACACCGAGCTGCAGCTCCTCCAGGCTCCGTGTGAGCGCGGCATGGGCCATCCTCGCCATCTGGACCGTCAGCCTGCTGCTGTGCACTTTGCCTCTCTGTGGCTGGGGCAGGTACATCCCCACGTCCTGGGGCTGCTTTGGGGACTGCGGCAGCTCCCACACCCTGTTGGTGCTGGCCGTGTACTCGCTGTGCCTCTCGCTGCTGGCAGCGCTGGCCGTGCCCCTCTCGCTGCAGCTGCTGTGCTCAGGTGAGCCCCAGGTGCTGCCCACCGGGCACCCGCGGGGCTCTGCGGGCTGCGGCTGCCCCGGCACTCCCTGGGGCTGCGGGGCCCCTCGGCTGCCGCTGCTGGACCCTGGGGACAGAGCCCCGGAGCCCTCCCAAGCCTCGGAGGTGGTGTTTGGGAAGGGTGCGGCTGAGAGCAGCACCCAGAGCCGGAGCTCCACCGTGGGCTTGGCCCAGAAACGATTCTCCCTGATCCTGGCACTGACCAAAGTCCTTCTCTGGCTGCCAATGATGGTAAATTCTCCGATGGCTTCACTTTGCAATGCTCACTTACATTTCAGTGGAACGTCACCTGTGGGCCATGGATTGAAACACGAACGGTGGCCAGTGCAGCTGTTCCTCGTAGGGTAGCTGAGCCAGCAGAAGGGCTCTCCAGCAGGCCTGTGTCACTGCAGGAGTTCCACTGGTGCCAGAGGGTGTGACAGAGCCTGGTTCATGGCTCTGACACTCTCCCATCACATCATTCATGTCACAGGAACACCAGGGCAGTAAGGTCCCCCTTGGGTACTGCCAGCTGTGGGACAGGGCTTGCTCAGCATTCTGGGGCTGGGAATTGAGCTAAGAGCCCCTCTGTCCTGTCCTCTGAGACACATCCTTTGGGTTAAAAATAGGAGTTTTGGCAGAAAAATGCAGTTTGGTGGCACCTTTGCAAACCCTGTAGTGCTGGGGCAGGAAGGAGTGCTGCTGTGGGCATGTGTGTGAATTTGGGAACAGGAACCTGAGAAAGGGATCTGCTGGGAATGGGGAGCATGGGGAAAGGGATCTGCTGGGAATGGGGAGCATGGGGAAAGGGATCTGCTGGGAATGGGGAACGTGGGGAAAGGGATCTGCTGGGAATGGGGAACGTGGGGAAAGGGATCTGCTGGGAACAGGGAACACGGGGAAAGGGATCTGCTGGGAACAAGGAACATGGGGAAAGGGATCTGCTGGGAACAGGGAACAGGGGATACTACCCCTGCCCCTGGCTGTGTGAGGCTGGGGCTCCTCGGTGCCACATGGGACTGGCTGGCTCAATGGGGCTCAGCAGCTATATTTAGCTTCAGTGAGGGTTTTTCTGAGAAATGCAGTGTGAGAGGAGAGCAGTCAGTGTGTTTGCTGTCTGTTGGAGCCACAAGTGTTGTCCTCAGCCAACACCAATGACAATCTGTGTCCTACAGTGGTGTCAATCTGCAGCGAGATGTTCTCCTTGTTCCTGGAAGCGTCTCCTGCGCCCAAAGTGATTTACATTTCAAAATGCTCTGCCTTTCAGATACACATGGCTGTCCAGTACATCACTGGGCTGCAGAGCCTCTCTTTTGAGGCCCTGAGCTTCCTGCTGACGGTGCTGGCTGCTGCAGTCACCCCGGTGTTTGTGCTGTCCCAGCACTGGCTCCACCTGCCCTGCGGCTGCATCATCAACTGCAGGAGCAGCTCCCATGCAGTGTGCTCACCAGGGGCCCAAAGTAAGTGTGCAAGGGTTGTTGGTGTGACAGAGCTTGCACACCTGCCCTGGTAACCTTCCTGGCATCTGCTAGAGCCCTGTTTTTCCTTGGGCTTTGTGCAAAAACAGCTGCAGGAACAGAGGGGGTCAGGTGGAAGAGGCTCACAGGGATCATCTGGTCTCAACTGCAAATGTTAAGGGCTAAATATTTCTGAGGATGTGGGAGTTGTTTCCCATTCTCTGGAGTGAAAATCCCCTACCATCAGTGGACAAATTTCTGACTTTCCCTGCTTGTTCAGGGAGAAAGAACTCCTGAATCTTAGAGAAAAGCCATCCCCAGTGCATGGCTTTCACCTGCTTTAAACACATCTAGGTGCAGAATGGCTTGTGCTGCCCCTGCTGCCCTTCTGGCCACTTTCCCAGAGAGAACGACTGCAGTTCATCTAGAAGGCAGCTCCTTCTCACAAGTCTTTCTTCTCAACAATTCATTTTTGTAATGGAGGGAAAATTGCCTGTTTATTCCATGTTTTAACATGTCATTTGCATTATGTTTGCAATCTCATTTTTCTTTTTGATCCCAACTCCTAATGCAGTTCCTCTCCTCCCTGCCTAGGCAAGCGCGGCGGTTTTGAGTTCAACCTGTCGTTCCAGCAGGGCTGTGGCATCTACAGGATTTCCCTGGAGAGCCCTCCCCATGCCAGCAGGGGTGGCAAACACTCGTCCTACCCCAGCCTGGTGGGCTCTGCCTGCGGGGAGCCGGGCAGAGGCAGGGACAGCCTGGGACCGACAGGGACAGGGGCACAGGGACACGGGCACCAGGGCACCAGGGCTGGCACAGCGCCCTGCCAGGGCACCAGGGCTGGCACAGAGCCCTGCCAGGACCAGCAGGACACCAGCCCCGGCCCGCTCCCTGAAGAACCAGAGTGGAGGCTGTGCCACCAGGAGAGCCCCACGCCCGAGCTCTCGGACTGGGAGTGGTGCCGGAGCAGATCCGAGAGGAACCCTCGGCAGGTAAAGGAGCAGTTTTCTTCTTTGCTGATAATAAGGGTTTCCTTATGAAATAGTAATGATTTTCACTGACACTGATACTTCTATTAATCCCATTTTTCAGTAAAACTCATACATGGCGCTGAATAATGTTTAGTCACCACAGACCTATTTGCAGGTGTTGATCCTGCGATAATTTCTCACTTGTCTTCTTAATCATGGGGTTTTCTTATTTTGTGTGCACCTGCATGATTTGTGTATGGTAAGAAGTAAGTATGAATTATGTTACTTTAATGAATAGGAAGTTTCTCTCCAAAAGATGATATTTTCCAGAGAATTCCACTGTGGAATTCAGTGGCCATTGGGCATTGCTGCAGGTGGGAGTGGGGTAAGAGCCCAGGTGAAGTCTGTGAGACAGGAGCTCTGGAAGGCTTCATTAGGAAGGGATCTCTAATCACCTAATCCAAGCAGGGTGATTTCAGAGCCAGATCAGCTCATGCTCAGCCTCTGCCAAGCACAGGAGATGCATAAGGTGTGTTTTGTATTCAAATATGGGCTTCTCTCTCCATCTGATAAACACAAGTTTATCATCTGAGTCACAGGAGGAATTTGGCTGATATTTCAAATGGGACTGATCATCCCTTTCATAAAAACACCACTGCTCACTCTGTTGCAGTGTGCAGAGAAGAATTCCTGCGTTTGGGGGCAAAAGGGAGTGGTGACTCAGCCTGGTTTTAATCTACCAGTCCTTGCCAAGGCCTCATGTGCCACGTTCAGCTTGGTTAATAAAATCACTGTGTCAGGTTCATAGCTCCTTGTAGGAGTTTCCAGATGATTTAAAACAAAATTATAAAATTCCTTTCCCCGTGTGCCCTGGTGCCAGTTCAGCTGCAGCCGTGGGACTGCAGCAGGTGTGAGCAGCTCTGTGTGAGCTGCTCAGTGACCTGGGGTGCTTTATGTGCCCTGGGGCCTTGTATGGCACTTTGGGACATGCTCTTCCCTTCCTGCATTACAAAGAGTCACAGCTCATCCACTTCTGACACCCTCCCAGGCATAGCCCACTGCCAGGCACTGCAGCTCCCGTGGGGTGAGAGCTCCAGGTCTGCAGGCACAGCTCTGCTGGTTCTGGCATTCAGCAGGAGCTGCCGGAGCTTCACAGCTGACATTTGCTTTGCAGCTGGGAAAGGGCAGGGCCTGAAACCCCTGCGAGCTCTGTAAAAATAACTTTAATGCATTGTTCAGGTTTATGCTGGATGAAAGATCAATTTGGGCCACACATTGATAAGCTGAAAACCATCTCCTTTATTCATCATGTCTGGAAGTCCCAAAGTCTAAGAGAAGTCACTCTGTTCTCATCACTCTGCATTTCCTACATGTGTTAAAGTGGGAGACCTCCAGCATTGACTGGCCTCATCCTTCTGCAGGAAATACAGGGGTTCTTCTGAGAATCCATAAATACAGGGGCTCCTCTGAGAGCCCATAAATACAGGGGCTCCTCTGAGAGCCCATAAATACAGTGGTTCCTGCTGGAGGGCTGCTGATTTTCTCATCACGAGGAGGAGCTGTAAGAGCTGGCAGCAGGAGGGGATCAGCCATCCCCACAGATGTGGGACCAGGCAGTCTGATGGGGTTTGGTGTTTGAAGAGCAGGTGCCAGACAGGACCCGGCATGGCTTTGGCTCCCTCTGGAAGCTGTGGGCCTGGAGAGTGGCACCTCCTTGGGGTGGCAGCAATGACTGTGGAGCTGGTTGGCTCTTCATTGCCTGTTCTGTGAGTAAAGAGCTGCTCCAGCAAAGTGTTTTCTCTGGAATAAAAGTGGCATGGGAGAATGAGGCAGCAGGGTTTATTGAATATATGATAGGATGGCTGTTATGGAGAGGGAGAGAGAAAATTGTACTTGTCATTTCCAACCCCTGCTCGGCTGCAGTTTTGAAAAATACCTTTAACATCTCATAAAATACCCGTGTATCTCCCTTCCTAAAGAGATTGAGTGTAAATATGTCTTGTCTTATTTTGTCTGTGCTTCAGTGCCCTCAGGCAACAATAATTTCCCAGGCTGGCAGTTTGTTCCAGGCTTGCTGATTATTTTTCTCTACCTCATCTGTGGGTTGCCTCGAGGAAACTCTTTGGAGAGGCTGCACAGGACCCACTTATGTGCCCTGCAAGGAAAGAGAGGGGGAGGCTGTGCAGGTGACCTCACTGAGGAGGAGCAGTGCAGGCAGGAGTGTTTAACATGAGAAACACACAGCTTCTCCCTGGCTGCAGGAGGGTTGTGAGCATTCCCTGGAACGCCAGGCACAGCACAGAAGCTGAGTTGGGGATGGCCTTGGAGGTTCCCGTTGCTGGTGGGAATCTGCACCACCTCAGCCCTGCTGGTGTGCTGAGCTCTGCCCAACAGGGCCCTTCCTGCTCAGCTGCTTGGAACGTGTTCCTGATTTCCACAGAGGTTCCTGTGGCTGGGAAATCAATGTCACATTCACCTTCACCTCCCCACCCTGCTCCGAGGCACGTGCCCTGTGCGTGGTGCTCCTGCTGCCGCTCCAGTGCCCCTGGCTCTCTCTGGGGCTGCAGAGGAGTGCTGAGAGCAGGGACACGTGCCCAGGAGGGCAAGGCTGGATAGAGCTCCCACAGCCCTTCCCTCCAAGGCGTCCTCACCCTGGGGCTCTGCTGCACCCCCTGGTACTGACAGACACAAATCCAGCTCTGTCTGCACCAGGCAGGCCGTGGCAAGTGCTGGGCTCAGCCCATCTCAGGTGAGCTTCTCTCCTCCTGCCACACCCCCGGGCTCTGCATGTGCTGCACCCAGCCTCAGAAAAGGCAAATCATTGCAGCAATTAGTTTCACTGCAGCTAATTTGCACTCTTAGGGAAGTGGAAGGCGAAGCCTCTGTTTTAAAACAAACAGAAAACTCATTGTCTCTGGAAAGGAAAAGCCAGGATCCTTACTGAAGACATTCTAAAAATAGACCTTTTCATCTCAAGCTGTGTTTGACCAGAGTAATTAGGAATACAAACTGCCCAGAGCTGTTTCAGATTGCTGGATTTCTGTTTGGGAGGGCAGCAGGGCCCAGGGGAGCAACAGGCACAGGGCACAAGCTGAGGGTGCCCTTGGTGCAGAGCCCTGTCCCAGGGAGGAGGAACAGAGTCCTGTGACCTGTACCTCACTGGGACACTGCTGGCATCCCTGTGCCTCACTGGGACACTGCTGGCACACCTGTGCTGCACCTGTGCCTCACCTGTGCCTCGCCTGTGCTTCACCTGTGCCTCACTGGGACACTGCTGACACACCTGTGCCTTGCCTGTGCTTCACCTGTGCCTCACTGGGACACTGCTTCACACGGTGTACCAGCAGAGTCTGGTCTGCTGTTTATTCCTATTTACTGCCATGGATGTGTCCTGAGAAGCAAAAATGGGTAATTAATAATGGGATCAAGGACAAGATAAAGGTCACTTTCTTTTCTCATTAATAATAGTAATTCCAGTAATAATCAGTGCTACTTGGCTGTACCTAAACCCAGGATAAATGCATTTATCCCTCCCTTGGGCCCCATAACCATGGGTTTAGTCCCAGCACTTTATCCACAGTGCTCCCCAGGGCACAGCATTGTGGTTTGCACTGATAAATGGATTCTGTACTTTAGAAACAGGTAAAGGTGTCTGGAATTGAACATTTCCACGGAGCTGTTCAAGTGGGAAATGACAGCATTCAGTGAGTGTCTCCCTGGTTACTGACTGGGCAGCGACAGAGGAGCCTTGATGGATCGTTTTCACTTTAACAGTAAATACTGATTTCTCAAGAGAAAGCTTGAGAAGACTTTCAGAAAGAGGCACTTTCAGAAAGTGATTGGAAATGTCTCATTCTCCAGACCTAGAGTGCTCATTCCAGCAAGTGGAGATTGCTCATTCTCCCTCCAGGAGAATGTTCAGTCTGGCAGATCCAAGAGTTTGATTAAACCAGACATAACCGTGCACTGAAGGAATCAGCTTTTATTTAAACTCTGGTTTTCATATTCTGTAGATTTCACAGTCAGTTACAGGCACTTGGGACTTCATACACTGAGGTGTATAATACCACAAAAAGCTTTTCACTACTCTTTCAAGTCATAATACCAAGTGTGTAAAATTCTTCAAGGAGCAGGCAGTGAGAGGAGCTAGCAAATGAGCAGACTGGCTGATTGGTGCTGGATTTTGGGCAGTCTCAGCACAGTGGCTGATTTTGTCAGATTTTGGGTAATCTCAGCACAGTAACTGATTTTTGCTGAATTTTGGGCAGTCTCAGCACAGTAACTGATTTTGCCGGATTTTGGGCAGTCTCAGCACAGTAGCTGATTTTGCTGGATTTTGGGCAATCTCACCACAGTGCCCCATTGGTGCTGGATTTTGGGCAGTCTCAGCACAGTAACTGATTTTGCCGGATTTTGGGCAATCAGCACAATGGCTGATTTTGCAGGATTTTGGGCAATCTCAGCACAGTTGCTGATTTTGCCGTATTTTGGGCAATCAGCACAATGGCTGATTTTGCCGGGTTTTGGGCGATCTCATCACTAACCATGTTGTTCCCCGCAGCGCACGGGCGGAGCCCTGGCCGTGCCCCTCTGCGCCTTCCAGGGCACCGTGTCCCTGCAGGCTCCCGGCGGCAAAACGCTCTCGCTGTCCACGTACGAGGTGAGCTCGGAGGGGCACAAGATCGCGCCCGCGGCCAAGAGGATCGAGGTGCACCGCTCCAAGAGCGTCGGGCACGAGCCCAGCCCGGGCGAGCCCGGCTTCGCGGACGCGAGCGTGAAGATTCACCTGGAGGTGCTGGAGATCTGCGACACCCCCGAGGCGCTGGACACCGTGTCCATCGTCAGCAGCATCAGCCAGTCCTCGGCGCACGCCCGCTCGCCCTCGCTGCGCTACTCCCGCAAGGAGAACCGGTTCGTGAGCTGCGAGCTGGGCGAAAGCGCCTCCTACTCGCTGCTGGTGCCGTCCAACAGCGACTTCAGCATCTCCATCCCCGACACCGTGGAGGCGCACCGCCGCAACAGCCAGCAGCAGGGCTCGGCCCGGGCGGGGTACCAGGAGGAGATCCAGCTGCTGAACAGAGCCTACCGAGAGCGGGAGGGCAGCAGCTAAAACAGCGTTTGATCCACACGCCCCGGCTGCTGTGACAGGCGGTGCTGCTGTCCGTCACTTACCCCAGCAAATACGGTATCAGCTGGTTTTGTCCTATCATGCAAATTTTGTTTAGGTGCACTGTTGAATCAATTCGAACTCTTAATGCTGTATCAAGGGGATAACAAATACTCAAGTGCTTTACAGCTTTCCACAGTGGATTTTAAGTTATTTATTTATATACCTATTTATTTGAGGCACATGTGTGTCTAAATGGAATCCTAAATAAAATCTCAAACCCCAGCTTTGGTGTTTGTTTGCACTGGGTGGCGTGTCTGCAGGAACCTGTGGAAACGAGGGAGCAGCTCCACATGTGGAAGGTTACAGCAGTTTTGATTCACTTGCAGTCCTTGTCAGTATCTAAATCGACATACTACTAGAAATACTTTTCTAACACCTGGACAGCACTGGCTGCTCTTTGTTTCACGGATTAAATCTGTTTTCTTGATTAGGCCTGAAAGTATACGAATTCAAACACTAAGAAAACGACACAAATTCCCAATTCTGCAACACAGCGGCCGGTTGGGGACTCGAACCCGGGTCCAGCGGGGGGGGTCAGGGTGAGGACTCGAACCCGGGGTCCCACGGGTGGGTTCGGTCGGCTCGGGACCCGAACCCGAGAGCCGGGGGCTGGGTTAGGTGGGGCCGGGACTCGAACCCGGGGCCCCGCGGGTGGGTTAGCTCAAGCCGGGACTCGAACCCGGGCTCCGTGCTCTGCAAGGCAGCGGGCGGAAGCACGGCGGCGGATGAGGCGGGCGGTGCCGGCGGATGAGGCGGGGCCGCGCCGGGCCGGGCCGGGCTGAGCCGCGCCGGCACCCGCGGCCATGAGCTACGAGCAGCGCCGTGACTGGGGCCGCGGTCGCGGCCGGGGCCGGGGCCACGGCAGCGATGGCGGCGCCGCCGCCGCCTCCTCCGCGGCGGGCGGCGGAGGCGGGCGGGGACGGCATCCCAGCCACCTGAAGGGCCGCGAGATCGGGCTGTGGTACGCCCGCAGGCAGGGCCAGAAGAACCGGGACGCCGACCGGCAGCAGGTGAGGGACGCGGGGACGCGTTCTGGGGCGGGGGCCTGTGCCTCTCCGCGCAGGCAGAGCCGGAGGTGTCCGGTCGTGCCCGGAGCCCCTGGTCACAGCAGCGGTGCCCGGAGCCCCTGGTCACAGCGGCGGGCCGGTGTGTGAGAGCTGCCGCAGCCGTTGTTGGTGGTGCCCGGAGCCCTGGGCACAGCAGCGGTGCCCGGAGCCCCGGTCAGAGCGGCGGGCCGGTGTGTGAGAGCTGCTGCGGTCGTTGTTGGGGTGCTCGGGCTCCCCGCCGATGATGGACCCTGTGCTTTCTGCCCTAGAGAGCTGTGGTGCGCATGGACGAGCGCCGGGAAGAGCAAATCGTGCAGCTGCTCAATTCTGTCCAGACTAAAAACGACAAAGAGCAAGAAGCCATGTCCTGGTGGTCCGGGGATGAAGAAGGGTAAAGAGATATAATTACCAGTTCATTTATTTACTTTGAATTGCACAAACTTTCCATAAGCTGTCAGGAAGATGTGTCAGAAGTGATTTCCCTTTATTGAGTGTACTGGCTCAACAAATATCCTCCAGTTTCTCCACATGTATTGTCACACTGAAATGGTTGTAGTCATTGCTGTAAAACTCTTTAATTACTGCTGAGTTTAGGGTGTTGAATTTCTACTTAAACTCATAAAACTTCTAACTCATCTCAAGGCCTACTACAGTAGATGCATGGGACTTTTCAGCTCTCTTGGCCTCTGGAATTACTCTTCCAGAGATGGATTTTGTCTTCTGTTTTCAGTTATTGTGCAGTCTTGGAACATTTTCGCAGGGTCTGTTCTGGAGTCATTTAGGGTTTGCAGGAATAGCTGGAATAGGCTGGTGTGCTGAATGAGGGGATTGGGGCTCCCTTTGGTGAGGGATCCAGTTATGGGGCAGTGGGTCAAGCTGTCCTTCTCTGATGATGCTTTGTTGCTTTGGGGCTTTGTTTGGTACAAAAGAACGTGTTGTTTCTTAGATCCTGATGTCAGGGTTTTGGTGGTTGGTAGTGTGAGACTTTATTTTGGTTTAATGATTTTCGCTGCAGTGACAGACCCAGAGCAACTGGGGCTGCCCATGGATCCCTGGCAGTGCCCAAGGCCAGGTTGGACATTGGAGTTTGGAGGACCTGGAGCAGTGGAAGGTGTCCCTGCTGTGGCACTGGGTGGGCTTTGAGGTCCTTCCAACCCAAACCATTCTGTGGTTCTCTGTTCCCATGGACTGTTAGTTCATTAACTGCTGGATGTAATTACCTGCACTCTGCGTGTGGCCAGGCACAGCTGGGGGAATCTGAAGTTCCTGTTCTGTCATTCCAGCCCTGCTCCAGAGCAGCCTGCCAAAGTGAAACCAGATGCTGAGAAAGCTCCTGTGAGACAGATACCAACCTGGGAGAAAACATCCCTGGATTTGGATGTGGAATTCCTCTGTGAAAAAACCGAGCAGGATGCTGATTTAGACGAACAACTTAAAGAAGACTTAATGAAGAAGAGATCTGATCCCAGATATATTGAAATGCAGGTACTTTTCCCTGTGTTAAGTTGAAAACTTTTAACTGGATTTTTTTAAATTAAGCTAACCTCAAAATGTAATCCCTCATAATTTACTAGAAAGTCGTCATGATGTTACTTTTGCTAAAAATTATCTTTAGAATTCATAAAATTCGTACCTATTGATAGAACAGTGGTTAAAAATTGGAAATGACAAATTTCAGAAACAGTTAGAATCTGGAATTTGAACCTGACATGTTGTTCTATTGGGTGGGTGTCTCTTTCTTTTATATGGATTGTGTCCCTGCAGTTATGTCTGAAACTGAAAGCACAGCACTGGGCTCTGAAGGAATGGCCTTTTGAAAACAGGGGTTTTGTTTTCAACAGCCATGTACAGAAAATTGTCTTTCCTTGGACACCAGTTCTCTCTTCCATACCAGGCCCTGCTCTTGCACCTGTATATACCTGCCTTGTTGTGTACTTAACTGTTGGGCTGAAATAATTTTTCTAAATTGAATGAAACTGAAACAACACATGGAATTAAAGTTATTTCCCATGGGCCTGTGTTTATACAAGTGTGGCCAAGCAGTTTGTCATTATTTTGTAGTTTAGCCCAAACTAAAGGGTGAAATCTAATAGAAGTGAAATCTATTCTATTGCTTTAGTGTTGAAAAGATGTTTAAAGAGAAACATTTTTTCTTTTTCCCCAGAGATTCCGAGAGAAGCTGCCCTCATACGGGATGAGAGAGGTGAGTGTGCATTGAGAGAGTCTCTGTGGTGCAGTGCTCCAAAGCAGGGGCTGTTATTAATTGATGTTAATTCTTAGGCTGATATCCCCTGCATGCAGTAGAAATGGAATATTCTGATATGTTTGCTTTTGCAGGCTCAGTGGGTGATCAGTGAGCTCCTTCCTGCAGTCCCTCTATTTGCCATAATGTCCTTGCTGTTAGGATTGGTTTCTTTAAATAGTCATACTGTCCTTAACAGTCCTTGGGGTGGGGAGGATGAGGCTGGGAAACTTCTTCTTGGTACAAGAAATGTTAAAATATTGTGCTGAAAACCTTTAGTTTGTGCAGGCTTGGAGTCCAGCAGGGCAAATTCTTGTGTTCAGCCTCCAGAGATCTACAGGAGCCAAGCAGGAAGCAGAAAGGTTAAAAATGTATTTCAGGCTTTCATTTTAGTTCTTCTGTGATGCTTTCATACAGGGTCTAAAGCATTTGAAGCTAGTGTTGAGGTTGAGCATGCCTTAAACCCTACACACGTGAAGTGCAAATGTGCAGAAATGGCTTCTGTGAGATTTAACGTTTTGGGTAGCATTACAGGAGGCAGCTGAGCACGTAGACACTTTGCTGAGAGTTCATCCCACAGGAGCAGGGAATTGTGAGAATCCTCCGCAGTGTGTTTGCAGCAGCAGAGCAGTAACAGCTGTGTCTCTGTGTGGCCAGGAGCTGGTGAAGCTGATCAACAGCAACCGCGTGACGGTGATCAGCGGCGAGACGGGCTGCGGCAAGACCACGCAGGTGACACAGTTCATCCTGGACGACCACATCGAGCGTGGCCTGGGCTCCACCTGCAGGATCGTGTGCACACAGCCCCGCAGGATCAGCGCCATCTCCGTGAGTGCCCCTGCCCAGGCTGCTGCAATAACAGTGCTGGTAACCTGCACTGACCGGCTGTTCACACGGTTCGGTGTCTGTGGAGCACTGGCACTGCAGCCTCCTTCTTCCCTGGCTTTAGTCATGGGGTACATCTGTGGGTTTAATGGATTTGGGCAGTGCAAATGCCCACTAAGATACAAACTAATGCAGTGTCAGGCCCTCTAGAGGTGTGTTAATGAGCAGGAAAGAATCTGGCTTTCAAATGCTCTGTAGTTACTCTCCTTGATAGTTCAGTGTCAGATGGCCAAGCTCTGAAAGGGGAATGGGCTACTAATGCCCTGTGTTCCTCTAGTCTTGTCCCTGGGTTGCTGCTCTCAGGGGAGGAGAAAAGGTGCTCTTCAGGGCATTTCTTTATTTACAAACCTCTCAGAATCAGGTGTTCCTATGGTGAGCAGCTCAGTCAGAGATCAGCCTGATTTTCTTTGTCCCCCTCAGGTGGCTGAGAGAGTGGCTGCAGAGAGGGCAGAGAGCTGTGGCAATGGCAGGAGCACGGGGTACCAGATCCGCCTGCAGAGGTGAGCAGCTCCATGGCAGGGGCCTCTTGTTATCCAAAGGAGACCATTTGAAAAGTACTTCTAAAAAGAAAGAACTGCTTTCCTGCTGGTATTTTCCCCTGAAGGAATTCCTGCGAGGAAGGGATAAGGTTTTTGAATTTTAGGAAGAGGTTTGAGTGCATTTACTATGTTTTATGTGACAGTGACTATTCTAAGTTAGGCTTTGTCTAATACGTCCTGTTTTCAGCTCTTGTAAAAGGTTCTGCTGTGGGCAGAAATAAAACTGATGTCCCTAATCAATGAATTTCAAGAAAAAATGAAAATGCTAAAGAGGAGAATGCTCCAAACCATATTTCTGTGGAAAGCCGTGCATTTGCTACACGTATTTATAGACCAATTCCCTGGGACCATGCAATAGGTGCAGGGACAGGAGCTTGCAGAGCAAAAGCTTTTACGTTTGTCGTTGGCTATAATTGAAAAATCTGAAGTGGTACCAGCACGTAAGGGAACCCATTTGTTGAAGCAAAACTGCTGGTGAGAGAGGAGAGCTGAGCCCTCCCAGCATTTTACCTGGGGTTCATAGAATCTCTGCTATTTCTCTTTGCTGCCAGTGCTGTGCGTGTGAGTGCCCTCTGTGCTGAGCCTGGAGGGCTGCAGGAGGTGGGCATCAGCACCTCAGTGTGCAGGGGATGGCACAGGGTGCCTGGAAGCCAGGGCCTCTCCCTGCTCCATTCCCCAGCCACAGAGGTGATGCAGCAGTGGCCCAATTCCTTGTGCTGTGAGTGAGGGAGGCAGCGAGGCACATTGCATCATGTCTGCAATGGCACCTGCAGCTGGGGTTTCAGGTTTTACAGCACTTTGTTAAATACAGAGGAAAACTGAGGAGTTCTTATTTTATTGTGTCTCTTTCAGCCGCTTGCCAAGGAAACAAGGTTCCATTTTGTACTGTACCACGGGAATTGTCCTGCAGTGGCTCCAGTCAGATAAGTAAGAGCTCCTGTTTAATGAGACACTGAATGCAATTATGGAATGAGTCCTGAGCTGTTCCAAACAGTCATGGCTCTGCTTTTTATTTTTTCTAAAAGCAAAAGTTTAACTTCTTCCCCTCCTCTTTTTAGGCACTTGTCCAGCATCAGTCATGTAGTTCTTGATGAAATCCATGAAAGAAATCTTCAATCAGATGTTTTAATGAGCATTATTAAAGATCTTCTGAATGTTCGGCAGGATCTGAAAGTCATACTGATGAGTGCTACTTTAAATGCAGAGAAGTTTTCCGAGTACTTTGGTAGGTGAAATGCTTCCTAGAAATGTTCTTCTTAAGTAATTTAGGCTTCTCAGAGTATAGTGCAGTTCTTGAATGATAGTATTGATTTGTATCAAAGGAAGAAATTACTTCAGTTTTACAAATACCTGCCAGCTGCTGGAGATGCAGTTTCTCTGTTTTATCTCATTGCTTCTGGTTTTGCTTTTCAGACACCTTATGGAAACAGAATCCACAGAGTGTTTTCCTAGTAAATATTTACCACGTTTAGCATTCTTGTTCTGAGGGGGCAAGCAGATTGAACTTTGAGTTGTTCAGTCTCCCAGCTTTTTCCAGTAGCTGGAACCAGTTGAACATCGTGGTGTGCAGAATACTGCCTGCTCCCTGTCCTTTTTTTATTCAGCAGCCTTACTTGGGGGTGAATGTGACACCTTCCCTGACAACTGGAAATGTCCTGTAGACATGGCAGCTATATTGCAGAGCTAGTGAGGAATGTTTATTGCTTCTGTTCATTCAGTGCAGTATTTCATCAGTGGTTTTAAAACTGAGTTCTGCCTCCCTCCACAGACCATTGCCCAATGATTCACATCCCTGGGTTCACTTTCCCAGTGGTGGAATATCTGCTCGAAGATGTCATTGAGAAGTTGAGGCAAGTGTTTTTTCTGAACATCATTTCAGAGAGTATTATGGGGGGGCTTAGCTTAGTGTGTGTATGCTCAAAGATTAACTTGGCATAAAGAACAGTTGCCTGTATTTTTCAACAGAAAACCTCCTAAAGGGTGCCCTGTACAGTAATTACAGGTGGCACACAGTTACCTGGGAATATTGGCTTGAGGGGGAGAACAGTTTCTCTGTTGCTGTGGTGAAATTTCAGGTCTCTAAATCAAGCTAGTCTTTGTTGCTGTTCACTTTTTTCCCCTACATGTTCTCATACTTACTAGGGTTGGTCCCTGCTTTTGTAAGGTTTCTGTCAGAAGAGAAACTGAAGATTTTTACACATGATTTAGCTAAAGCACAGCATACTGTCCATGGTTTGAGAACTGTGCAGCTGCTCTAAATTCCCTGTTTCAAATGGAATTGTGTTTGCTCCTGCTGTGCAAAGGTACACCCCGGAGAAGACGGACCGGCGGCTGCACTGGAGGAGGGGCTTCATGCAGGGCCACATGAGCAGGCCAGAGAAGGAGGAGAAGGAGGAGATCTACAGGCAGCAGTGGCCGGGCTACCTAAGGCAGCTGCAGGGCAGGTTGGGCCCAAGTTTCTCTTCTGCTTCCAGTTTACAGGCAGCTCTGAAGTGACAACCATAAATTAGTGCTGTATTGTGTTGCTGGGCTTTAATAACAGTGGGATAGTGGCTGCTGTGGAAAATGGTGATGGAATTGTCTCTACAGTTGTCTGGCAGCTACTGAAGTGCTTTAGAGACAGCAGGATTAGCTCCCTTTGCCTCTGAGTTGTTCAAGTTAAATTTCAGTTCGTTACCTAAATACAAATTGTCAGTCCCTGGCTCATCAGTGAGAAGGAGGGAGGTCATGCAAGTGCTTCAAAACAGTTCAGTCATGGCATGGTAATTCCTCAGCAGTTCTGAACTGACGATAATCACACTGAACTAAATGCGGAGAGCCCTTTGGAGGTGCAGGAATTGCTCAGAGAACTGAGCTGATTGCAGGTGGGTTCATGGCTGGGTGGCTCACTCAGAGCTTTACATGTCTGTGCTTTCCCTGCTGCAGGTATTCAGCAAGCACAATCAGTGCCTTGGAAATGATGGATGATGACAAGGTGGACCTGGACCTTATAGCAGCACTGATCAGACACATTGTGCTGGAAGAGGAGGTACAGTGGGACTGAGCTGGGGCAGTGCCAGAGCTGGCAATGGCTTTGGCTGGTCACACAGAAAGAAGAGAAGTTTTTGTTTGCTCTTCTAAGTAATTGAACAGTTTTGAACTACTCTTATGTTCAGATAAATACATGGAGGTAGCTCTTTTCTAGAAAAAAAAACAAACCCTTGACAGACTGTACCAGGCTGGGTCAGTGAGGTTTCAGATCTCACATGCCCACCATATGTCAGTGTGCAAGGAGCTGGCTCTCTGTGCGGTGTGTGATGTGTTCTGACCTCTCTTCCCTTCACTGCCTCTTTTCCCCGTAGGATGGTGCAATTCTGGTGTTTCTGCCAGGCTGGGATAACATCAGCACTTTGCATGAGCTCTTGATGTCTCAAGTCATGTTTAAGTCAGGTAAAACCCAAACTCTGTGTGGGACTTCTGGCAGTGGCACTGGGGGCAGACTCCTTTTGCATGGGGTTGCTGCAGTTGGGCTGGATTCATTTTTTCCCTTGTCTCCTCTCCAGGGTGTTCAGCAGTTTTTGTGTGTCTGGTGTCCTTTCCTCTGCCAACAACAACTCATTATTCTCACTGTGGGAGTGACAGTCTGAAAAACAACCTGACCTGCATCTTCTTCCTCTTGTCCTTTCCTGCAGCTGGGAGAGCTCCCATCCAAAACTAAACTCCATTCTGTGTGTGCTTCCTCTGTGCTTCATCCTTGAGCAGCTTCCCCTGCTTTGCTGATCGTTCCCTTAAGTCCTGTTGATTTGAGAATTTCTTACAAACTCTCGAGTACTCTGTGCCTGTCTGACACATTTAACTTGTCCTTTTGCATCTCTTCTATTTCCATCTCACCTGTCTTAGCTGGGCTCTTGGCTGTTCAGATGGTGACTTGCAGTGTGGTTGTGTACATTCATAGGTGCAGAATTCCAGTTCATTGGAACATTGTGTCAGTTTTTGTATTAAACTTGACCAATTATTTAATAACTACAGAATTTAAAAAGGAAGTCTGAATTACTATACATAACTTCACATATTGTCTCAACTCTTCATGTTACAGCATCATAAAAAAGGCTTTATACCTTTTTACTTTAGAATTTGCTGTTATGATACAAATACCTGTGATCTCAGAGCAAGAAGCAGTAGCCTGACTTGCAGCCTATTTTCTCTGTTCTGCATGGTTGATTTAATAGATTTTCCTGTAAAATTGGAAGTTTCTGTGCTTAAACCATATCTTATACTGATTTTTAACTTTCAGATAGGTTTATTATCATCCCTTTGCATTCACTGATGCCTACTGTTAACCAGACTCAGGTATGCTTCTCTTTTATTGCAATTTTTCACAACTACAAGAAAAAAAAAAAAAGAATGAAGCGCATGTTTGCTTTTGGCAAAGACATAAATGGGCCCTGGATAATTACAGGTGTTCAAGAAGACCCCGCCAGGAGTCAGGAAAATTGTGATTGCAACCAACATTGCAGAAACCAGGTAAGTGCCTGGCTGCCCAGAGCCAGGAAAGCTATGTGTTTAACAAAATAAATGGAAGTGATGATTTAAAGTATAAGCCTCTTTGGTGTTCCTGAAAATATGTTTGTGTTTGTGCCATTAGTTTAGAAATATTTATAGACTAAACAGAGTTTTCCTATAATTGTTTTAAACAATCCAGCCAACTCTGTTGTTTTGAACAGTTAAACTACAGGAATACTAAACAATTGCTAGAATGATTTGTACAGGATAATCTGAGCTGCCTGTCCTCTGTTCAGAATGCAAGTGGGAACTTCTGCCAGACCAAGGAGAATAAATCAGTAACATAGTTCTTAATGAAATTCCAAAGACAGATTTTTTTAATTGCTGACTCTGTTTGGGAGGGAATAAAGAGAGGCCAAAGCCAATCCTAGGTCACACTTGCAAAGGTGAAAAGTTGCTTTTTTCCCCTCTTTTTTTCCAACAGCATCACGATTGATGACGTGGTGTTCGTTATAGATGGGGGGAAAATAAAGGAGACTCACTTTGACACCCAGAACAACATCAGCACCATGGCTGCAGAGTGGGTCAGCAAAGCCAATGCCAAGCAGAGGAAGGGTCGAGCAGGAAGGTAGGAGCAGGGGGTGCTTAGGGAAGTTTGGGGATGTTGAGTTTCCCACAGTGCTGAAGGTTCTTTATTATTTGCATGTGCTGGCACAGCTGGCTCCTGTTCCTGGGCAGGGAATGATTTCCTTGCCTTCCTAGGAAGCTGAATTGACTTGTGCTGTGTTTAACTCCACAGTTTCCCTCCTATACAAGAGTGTCCTGCATTTTGTTGTAATTTTTGTCATTGCCCTCACACCTGATTTATGAGGCTGATACAGTAAAGTGGAAATGGTGTAAAAATTAATTTCTGTGTTCTCTATGCCTCTTTCCTGCTGATGGGTCTTCAGAAGACTGAAATGGGTTTTACAATTGAATACACTTCAGTTCTAATTCCTGGAGGAGTTTTGGGAAGCTCTTTGTAAGAAACAGACCCATAATGTCTCAGTTTCATTGGTAAAAAACCCCAACAAATGCCCAAACCCAAAAGAATAGTTTCTTTAAATCATTGCAGGGTTCAGCCAGGCCACTGTTACCATCTGTACAACGGGCTGCGTGCCAGCCTGCTGGATGATTATCAGTTACCAGAGATCCTGAGGACACCCTTGGAAGAACTCTGCTTACAAATCAAGGTAAAGGCAGGAATCTTCAAAAACATTTATTACCTATTTTTCCATTGGGATAAATGGTGAGAGAATAAGTTAATCCAACTGTGAGCCTAGAGTTGTTCATCCAAAAGAGTGAGAATGCCAGTGAGTCAATTTATATGGTCTCTTAAAAGAATTTTACTACAAAGTCGTTTTAGAACTGGTGTGAATTTCCTTTTTGGCAGTTTGCATTGAATTCCTTACAAAAGCAGAAGGATTGCCATGTGTAAGTGAACTGAATGAAGAATAGATTCTTCTGCTGTAAATTCCATCACTAGTAAATTTTTTGTCCTTGGTTCTTAACCCAAGAAATTCTAACTGGGGCTGTGAATTACTCACACTACTTCAATGAGCGTGGTTACTGCTAACCAGTTTTAGACAGCCATCTTTCTCCAGCTGCTGTAGGCTTTTGTTGTGATTTTTCTTTCAGATCCTGAGGCTTGGTGGAATTGCCTATTTTCTGAGCAAACTGATGGACCCCCCCTCTCGTGATGCTGTGATGTTGGCCATAAATCACCTCATGGAGCTGGTAAAGTGTTGCTTCATCTGTTCAGAGCCGTGGTACTGTGGGTGTCACCAGGCAGGGGTGCCTGCACAGCTCTGGGCATTGCAGCCCCTTCCCCTTGCACAGAGCCTTGGACCCTCACTGCACAATCCATGGTGCTTGGGGCCCTGCAGAGTGCTGCAGAGGGGCTTTGTAAAGGACTCCAGACACACACGTGGCCCTGCACTTCAGTGAGGAGCTGGAGACAAACGAGCCCGTGGGAGGAGCACCTGGTGTCATTGTTCCCTTGGCTGCTGGGGAGGGAGAGGTTCATGGCACGTTTGTTCTGCTGGCTCCTTGCTCTGGTGGTAGTTGTACAGATGAGTTGTAGCCATAGATAGGAACATCTGGTTTGGGTTTTAGTGGGGGATACCTGTGCCCCAAGGAAGTGCTCCCCGTTTCACATGGCGTGTTTTTGTTCCCTCTCTGCCCTCGTGCTGGCAGAATGCTCTGGACAGGCAGGAGGAGCTGACTCCCCTGGGGGTGCACCTGGCACGGCTGCCCGTGGAGCCACACATTGGGAAGATGATCCTGTTTGGAGCCTTGTTCTGCTGCCTGGACCCCGTGCTGACCATTGCAGCCAGCCTCAGCTTCAAGGACCCTTTTGTCATCCCTCTGGTAAAGTCTCACAGACCACAGTTACCTGTGGGAATTTAAGAATCTCAGGAGGATGCTGGGACTCAGTGAGGTGTTATAGTTTAAGAGCACTTTCGTTAATGTCATGGTAATTACATTTTTACTAGTGAGTTGCCTTTGTATACTATGAATTATCATTTTTCCTGTGGAATATTTGAAATAACTATAATTTTCATGTGTTACATACAAGGTACTGCTGTACAGATGTACCTGAGTTTGGAGAAGAGAACTGTCATGTCAGTCTAGGTATTATGTAGGTTCTGATTTTTAGGGCAAAGAGAAAATCGCAGATGCAAGAAGAAAGGAGCTGTCAAAGAACTCGAAAAGCGACCATCTGACTGTGGTGAATGCCTTCACTGTAAGCATGCTTTCATGTGGCTTTTTTCTTCTAGAATTTTAATTTTAATAATATTGATGATCCTAAGGAAAAAGCTGATCAGCTTATGCTCTGTAGGCTTTCTTGTTTGGCTTCTACAGAAACATAAAACCAAACTGATTTTCACCCTTCTAGTGTTGCATAATCTGTCTCCAGGCTCAGTAACCTGACTTCTGGAGGGCAAGTCTGAAAAAGACAAAGGAAACACAGTACTGTAGTTACCTTGCTGAAATTGTTCACTCTTGGCCTCTACAAGAGGCTGAAGCCAACTTCAGAGTGTGGGATGTTGTGCTGTACTGTGTTGTGGTGAGGAGAGGAGGAAATAAACAGCCTGGAAAACCCAAGTTACTGCCCAGAACTTTAACTTTGTTAATTCCATCAAAGGGTGGGTGCTGTGGCAAACACAGCCAGGTATCACTGCCCACCAGGGCAAAAGGAAGGCTGTGATTCAGCATGTTGTGCAGTTGTGTTTCTCTGCACTGTGGTGTGTGCACACATACAGAGAGATCAAAGGAGTTACTTTCTCCCTGGTAGGGAATATGTGACTGTTTGATGACCTCCAGTTTTGGCTGTCCTTAAGCCTGTAGGTTCACTTACAAACCCCTTACACCTCTGGTTTTCATTCCCAGGGCTGGGAAGAGGCTCGGAGTTGTGGTTTCAGGAATGAGAAGGACTATTGCTGGGAATATTTCCTGTCCTCAAATACCATGCAGGTAACAGCACCTGCCAGGGCCACACAGGATCCTGTGTGTGGGGAGAGCAGGAGCCTTTGGCACAGCATCATTCTGTGCAATGTTTGTTGTTTCCTAGATGCTGCATAACATGAAAGGGCAGTTTGCTGAGCATCTCCTTGCAGCTGGGTTTGTGAATAGTAGAAACCCCAAGGATCCCAAATCTAACACCAACTCAGGTAACCATGGAGGGAAAGGGAGCATTTATCCCAGCTGAAATCTCAGCTTGCAGAAGTGCCTCACTCACTTTGCTCTCTCCTGCAGGTAATGAGAAGCTGCTCAAAGCAGTCATCTGTGCTGGCCTGTATCCCAAGGTGGCAAAGATCCGGCCCAGCTTCAGCAAAAAGAGAAAAATGTGAGGGTTTGCTTTAAAGTTGGTTTGTATTCAGGGTGTTTTCTGCATGGCATAATTTGGCAAGGTGAAGCAGTGGCTTGAGTGAATGGCATGAATGAATCTCACTTTAGAGTTGGAGTCATGGTTGTGCATTCCTTCCTCTGAGAAGGGTGGGATTGTTGATTTCTTAACATCTGGATTCCTGCTAACACCTGAACTAACTTGTGTGACCTTCTCAAGCCATGCATAATGTTACAACACCTCAGTAGCACTGCTCTAAAGGGGTTCCACAGCAGCACTTCAAACACTGCCACTCCTGGTTCTTTGGGAAAAGAGACCCCAGGGATCCTGCTCTGTTGATTTATCACTTCTTGTATTATCAGACTCTTTTGTTGTTGTTGTTTTTTCTTTGAAGGGTGAAAGTTTGCACCAAGACAGATGGATCAGTGAATATCCATCCCAAATCAGTGAATGTGGAGGAGACAGAGTTCCATTATAACTGGCTGGTGTACCATTTGAAGATGAGGACCAGCAGCGTGAGTCAGAGCAGTGCTTGTGGGGTTCATTTGTTTTATTATCCCCTCTTAATGAGAGTGGGTCAGGGTTCAGCCTTTGTTGTGGGGCCTTCCTGTCCTAGGCCATTCCTTGTACACACCATCAGATTATTTCCTTTGTGATACTGGGGTATTGTACCACAAATAATCAACTTCTGTGGTTTAGTTCTTGGGGTTTTTTTGAGGATTTGGGTTTTTTAAGGTCTGGCAGTAACAGGTGTAAATTCTTTTAGTGTTTTTTTTTTTTCTTTTAATTTCAATACAGTCTTAACACTTCTCAATATGCTGATGTTTTTTCCTCTCATTGTTTGGAGCATCTGGTTTCATTTCACCACTGTGTGAAAGACTGAAAGACTTGGGACCATTTTTGCCCTTGTGCAATCTGATTTCATGTAACTTCTTTTTAACTGAGTTGCTTTTCTTTAGAATTTGTGAGTAACTGAGTAAGGGTCTTCTGGAAATCTGTAGGAGTCTCATTAAGGATTACTGATGGCACTGGAGATAATCTGAGGGTGATCAGAGAATTCTGTTGTTGTGCAGATTTACCTGTATGATTGTACGGAGGTGTCCCCATACTGCCTCTTGTTCTTTGGAGGGGATATATCCATTCAGAAGGATAAGGACCAGGACACCATCGCTGTGGATGAGTGGATTGTTTTCCAGTCTCCAGAAAAAATAGCAAACTTGGTCAAGGTAACTGTTTCAAAATCATGTACCTGGAAGGCTCAGTGTAACACTGGTTCTGCTTAGGGATCTCTGGATTCGATATTCCTGTGGGCCTATTGATTTATCACTCAGGGAGATGATGTTAGAAATGCACTCCCAGCAAGCAGTTCTAGCACACAGAGTAAGCAAAAGAGATTTAATTTTGCACAGATAGTGTGGGATGACTTGGTCAGCACAGGAGATATCCACACAGATGTGGGAACAGGAGAGTGGGGCTCCTCAGTTAACAGGAAGGGGTTCCATAGAACTCTTTAATATTAGATCCCAAAAATCATACTGGACTCTTTTTTAAAATTTTATTTTTATTTTAAAGCAGCCTTTTTAATCCTGAGGTGGTTAGCTAAGTGCTGGGTGGGCTGTTAGAGGCATCACTTCCAGAGGTGGTCACCTCTTATCAAAGAGCCTGGGTTTTGAGAGTGTTTGATTGTGAAAATAGCAGTGTGGAGATGAACTGAGGGGAGAAGAGCAGGTGTAAAGGTTGGGAGAACAGGGGCCCGAGGCACTGGAACCTCTGTGTTGATGCTGTGTGTAGCTCTAACATCCATCTCTTGCCTTTTTCCTTCTTTTCCTTTGTTACAACACTTCCCAGAAACTGAGAAAAGAACTGGATGACCTTCTACAAGAGAAAATAGAGAGCCCCCATCCCGTGGACTGGGATGACATCAAGAGCAGGGACACAGCGGTGCTGACAGCGATCATAGACTTGATCACCACGCAGGAGAACGAGGGCGTGCGCAACTTCGCGCCGCGCTTCCAGGGCGAGCGCTACAGCTGAGCCGACCCTGAGCGGGCTGCACGGCGCCTCCTGTGCACGGCAGCTCCTCAGCCAGACAGCCACTGCTGCAGGGGCGCTGCTGCTGTCCTGTCCTGAGCAGCAGGACCTGGGGCTGGCTGGCAGTGTGTGTATGTGCATGCGTTCTGTGCTCGCCGTGGCTTCCTGAGGGACAGAGAGGCAGCTGCTGGATGGTGTAAGGTTCTTGTCCTGCTGTAGCTGTTTTCTTTGGGATTTTCACCCATCAGGTGACAGATATTTAAAAACCCTGCTAAAATACTGCTTAGTAATACCTAAACCTAAACTGTTTCTTTTTTTTTTTTTCTTTTAATGGGGTGTGGTGAGTGATTACACTTGCTGTGTTATTCCAGCTGTGCAGCAGTCTGCTCACCAGTGTTCCACAGAAGGTAATTACAGCTTAATTTAACTAAACTTGAAAACGCTTGTTGAATTTGTATGGTGGGAGGAAACAATCTTTAGAAATTCTTCTCCTTTTCTGCATTTCATCCCATTTAATTAATCTTCGTTTTCTGTCCCATCCATCATCACTACTGACTGAAATAGCAGATTGCAGAAAGCATGGTTAGATGAAAGTCACGTTGGGTTATGTGTTAAGGTTTCATTGCATTGGAGGCTTTTTTTTGTTTTTTGTTTTGTATTTTTTTAAAGAAGTTCATGTATGGGTTATAGTATTCCATTAAGAGTCTTTTTTTCAACTCTTCTCGATGTTTTGAATGCTCTGTTTTGAATGGTCTCCAGCTATGGAAGATTATTTGAATAACAAAGTTTGTTAAGGATTTTGAGGTTTATCCTTGAGAAGAAAAACCTGGAAATACAACTTTTCTCCCATCTTTGGTGTTTTGTTGTTTTTTTTCTTTGCAGACATGACTCTAATCATCAGGTTCATGGGGATTTATGCTATATTCTGAGCAAAGCAGAGCAGCTCAGGTGAAACAAGTCAAAGTTACTGGCTGGACTGTGCTTTTCACTGGGTTAACAAGGGATGGAGGGCGCCAGGCTCCTCATTGCCACTGCCAGCTGCACAAAACGTGGTTTAACCTCCTTCCCCAGCACCAACTAACCGTTCCACCCTCAGGTGTTCTAAATGAGGAGGCAGAGGAGGAGAATCAGCCTGCCCTGGGGCTGGGGATGCCAGAGGGAGCCTGAGGAAAGGGAAGAGAGAGGAGGGAGCCCGAGGAAGGGGAGAAGAGCCCCGGTGGCTGCAGGGAGGGAGGAGCTGGCCCTGGTGCATTCTCTGGGGGATCACCACATCAGGCTGGACCCCAAGCAGCGAAGGGCACTGAAGACTTTTCCCATCTCCCTCTTAATGTGCCTGTCCCAGGCCATTGCTCCAAGTCCAACAGGTAAATGGGATCTATGACATGAGGTAGGACACAAGAGCGTGCTATTTATCTTTACAGAACAGGAAAATGTAAAATGCCAGTGTTTACTGAAGAGATTTACTTTCTCTGACAAAAATGACATTGTCAACTGGTGGCTTTATGGCATTTAAAAGAAAATCAAAACTTTTTTTTAGTAAGGATTTAAAAGCACTTTATTGATTGTTGTCCTATAAAATCATAGAAGTCTTTTAATTCCTGAAGAACTGTGTCCAACAATAGGAAAAATGAAAAATGTCTTTACAAAACATTACAGCATTTTTTGAAAAACTAGGTATGAAAAATATATACAGTGCATTAAAAAAAATCTGAATAAAATTAATGCCTGGATTTATACATTCAGTTATGTGTTAAACATCCACATGTATACAGTAAAATTTGTTAAAACAGTAGCAGTGTTTTTACTATGTTAAATAAGTCTTTGTTCAATTTACAGTTTCTCTCATTACTATTCTATCAGTCCACTTATAAATTAATTTGCAAGGCTGTATAACCACTGTCACACTGTCCAGATAAGTATTTTTGTACAAAATTACTGCCTTCCTAATGTAGCTTAAATTCTTAGAGCTACACATCTTTACAAACAGTTCACTCCCCACTCAAATCAGCATCTTACATAAAAACCAGCAGAGGCTGGGGAAGGCAACAGAAGGAAGCCTTGGCAGTACAAGTTGTCCCCTGGTTTCTACACTGCTGAGGCAGCAGCTGGTCCTTAACAGGGAGGGTTTTTCTCACTCACACTCTCCCACCTCTCTGCAGCCACCTGCCCTGAACTCCGCTCAGCCACGAGTGCACGTGTTCCCAGAGCAGTGAGGGCAGGTCACGTTCTCATCACCCCTGTTCTGAAGCACTGAGTGATGCAAGACCTCAGACGACAGCTGAGGAAACCAGAAACAACTGCCCCCACTGCCAGCACTAAATACCTGTGACTCTGCAGCAAAATCCCTGTGCTAGGAGGGAGCAGCAGCACCTGCTCTGCAGAGGGCGGTGCCTTTATCCAGCTTGCAGAAATCCTTTGCCCACAGCAGAACCTGGAGCAGCCTGTGCAGCCCCACGCAGGAGCAGCTGCAGAGTCCTCACGAGGTGGTGCCAGCTGTGCCTGTGCCAGGCCAGGGCCAGCCCTGCACTTGCCCTGGAGAGGTAGGTCAGCCTTCACAGAGGCCAGAGCTGGGCACCGGAGCTCAGGGAACACACGGCTGCTGACACAAAGGCAAGTGGCCCGTGACACAGGGCCTGGGGCTGCAGGACAGCCGGCACTGCTGAAAACAACTTCAGGTGCTCCAAAGCAGAAGGAGCAGGAGCGCAAGGAGGCAGCGAGGCAGGAGCTGCAGGAGTGCCCAGCCACTGCTGCAAGTGCTGCAGCTGCTGGGGCCAGGGCCCAGCCCGGAGCTGCCAGAGCAGGGATCCCCAGTGTCAGGTGCTGCTGGGCTGTGGCCCTGCTGTCCCTGTCCCAGAGCAGGGATCCCCAGTGTCAGGTGCTGCTGGGCTGTGGCCCTGCTGTCCCTGTCCCAGAGCAGGGATCCCCAGTGTCAGGTGCTGCTGGGCTGTGGCCCTGCTGTCCCTGTCCCAGAGCAGCCCCAGCCGGGGGGAGGCACGGCTACACGTTGGTTTCCAGCCCCAGCAGGCGCCCCATGCGCTCCATGTTCTTGTCCAGGGTGGCCCTGCAGGTGATCTCCTTGGCACACTCCGAGGGGAACCAGCCCCTCTGGCCGTCCCGCAGCCGCTCCCCCTCGTACCAGCCTGCGGGGAGGGACAGCAGTGACACCTCTGCACCGACCCTGCCCTGCCCTGGGGGCACTGAGGGGCATTCTGCCTCTGCCTTCGCTGGGGATCACGCACCAGGTCAGGAGAGCTTTGGCAGGTGTTTGTAATCCAGCCAGACCAGGTAAAAAATAGTATGTGCAAAGCATTGCACAATTTCACTGTCTTTTTTGTCATTCAAATATAGTTTGAAGTAATGCAATAGTACAGTGACAGAATCTCTGATTTCCCAGGTAACTGAGCAACAGCAAGTTAGAATTTAGTCCCTCAAGTACTGACTTGGGCAGCACTTGGTGCTATCGATGCCGTTGTGGGCAGGTCTGGGCAAGAGCCACAGTGATCTTGGGACACTCGACCCTGTGTCAAACCTCAGCAAGCACCCCGTGCCAGAGCTGCAGCAGGAGAGCCCAGGCCACGGCACGACAGACTGGGGCTGTTTCTCTTGGACAACCCTGGCACTCACCAGAATGTCTGAGCTCTGTGGTTTTAGACTAATTCAATTTCCTATTTGTGGACACCTCCCATGCCAATGCTGGCCAGCAGCCATGTTCTACAGCTGGTTACAGCTGCTGCTTCCTTCAGAAACCTGAACCCAAATGCTCACGTTTTCCTTGGAAGCTGAACTGTTACTCACTGCAGCCCTGTGCTAATAGGAAACACGTTTTTGTAGCTGGATCCCCCTGCAGAGGTGACAAATGGTTACTGACAGAAAATCCTCACTCACCGTCATTCACTTTTTGATAAACCAAAACCACATCAGCGACTTGGAGAGAGAGCTCATCGGCCTGCTTGGCTGTGTACGTCCTGATGGTCTCCACCTGAGCCAGGGCTGGGGCAGGAGAGAGCCAGGCTCAGTTAAAGCAGTCACAGGGCTTTTACTACAACACATCACCATTCCTTTAAAACATTTCCACTCTACACCTTCCCCCATGGCTTAGGGCAGCCCGGCCCCAGCGAGGGCAGTGCCCTGCAGAGCGCCCAGGAGCCCCAGCATTGTCACTTACTGGTCCTGTCCGTGTGCTGCCTGTCGCTGTCCTGGCCCAGCGCCGTGATCCAGCGGGCTCTGTCGCTCCTGCAAAGCACAACCATGGCCCAGCTCATGCCCCGGAGAATGCTCAGCTCTGAGGCTGCCCCTGCTTCTTCCAGTGCCTCCAGCTCTCCCTTCAGCCCCTGTGAGTAACCCAGCACCTCTGTGTAGGCTCTGCCTTCTTCACAGGGCCATAGAAAGCTCTCACCTAACACTGGTGCTTTTCTCCTTAGGACCCAATGCCACAGGAGGTGGTGAAACATGATCAAACTGTGCTGGAAGTCTTTGGTTCAGAGAAAACATTTCAGTTTTACCTGCACAAAACTACTCTGAACTCTTTGGCCTTGGAAATTCCCCTCCCATCCTTCTCAAAAGATAAGACTATAAAAATAGGTAAGTTAAAGTACAGGAATTCCTTTCAGACTCTTGCTCTGAGCGATGATCAGCTGGACTGCTATTTATACTGCAAACGGCACAGAACAAATCAATAATAAGTCTGCAGAACAAGATGTCTTTTCATACAAAGCCCAGACAACTAAAAATGTCCTGCATTTTTTCCCCAATAAAATTGCATTTCCAAACAAGTCTGAATCATCTCCTGCTTTCATAATGAGATCTTTAATAGAAAGTACTGATGATCTTCAGTTCCTTTCATGGTTATTCTAAACTTTGAAAGCCAACCTAAAACTATCGATTTTTCCAGGCAGGGACATGTCTGGAGCACTCCCTTTCATGCCTCTGTCCTGCCTCCAGCTTCCCCCAGAACAAGTGAACTCTTTCAGCGCTGGGAGGCCGTGCGGAAGTTGATGGCACATGCACATCCCAGAGCTGGCACTGGGTGCTGCTGCTTTCTAAGGCAGGGCACTCCTGCGGCACATGCACATCCCAGAGCAGGCACAGGTTTCTAAGGCAGGGCACTCCTCAGGGTGCCCCAGAGAGAGGAGCAGAGCTGCTCCGGCTCCAACCCTGCTGCTCCATCCACCATCAGCACATCCCAGCGCCTGCTCAGGGCCCCGAGTGCTCTGGCTGTGCCTGGGACACTCCTGTGACACACTGTGCTGTGCTTGCAGTGACAGCCCCGCGGTGACAGCCCCGCGGTGACAGCCCTGCGGTGACAGCCCCGCAGTGACAGCCCCACAGTGACAGCCCCACAGTGACAGCCCCGCGGTGACAGCCCCGCGGTGACAGCCCTGCGGTGACAGCCCCGCAGTGACAGCCCCGCGGTGACAGTCCCATGGTGACAGCCCCACAGTGACAGCCCCACAGTGACAGCCCCGCGGTGACAGCCCCGCGGTGACAGCCCCACGGTGACAGCCCCACGGTGACAGCCCTGCGGTGACAGTCCCACGGTGACAGCCCCGCAGTGACAGCCCCACCTGGCAGCACCGACCCTCGGGTGAGGCACCCAGCACAGGGCTGGCCCCCACAGGAACCTGCCCGAGGCACAGCTACACTCATCTCTGCAGGCAGGGTAATCGAGGCCTTACCCAGCAGTTTAAATTAACAACCCAGAAGAAGTAATAGAAATAAATAAACAAACAAACATGTACTACTCTGGGCAGGGCGGGAGGAGCTGCTGCGGACACCACCAGGTGCAGAAAGCCCTCAGCAGCGGTACTCACGGCGTGTCCGCCCCCAGGAGCATCTCCACCCTGTCCCCGGCGTGGTTGCAGAGCAGCAGGAGCCTGAAGAGGTGCGAGGCCGCGCTCCGGCCCGGGTGCAGCATCCCCGGGGCGCTCCGGCCCGGAGAGGAGCCGGGCCCGGGCTCGTCCCCGTCGCAGGGCAGCACCAGCAGCTGCTCCCGCAGCGAGTAGCCGGTCACGTTGTAGCTCTCCTCACTGCGGGGCACAGGGAACAAACCCCGGTCAGGGCTCGGATCCCCGCTCCCTTGGGCTGCGAGCAGCCCCAGCCTCGGCCAAAGCCAACGCCGCGGTGGGGACGGCTCCTCCAGCTCCTCCCAGCCCCACACAGCGGTGAGCAGCTTCTGCCAGAGCTCTGAGTAACACAAAGCCCCAGCCGAGCTCCCAGGGGACATTTTCAGACATTTTCACGGGGGTTCTGGGAAATAAACACTGACAGGGCTTTGGGCTCTTTCTGCAGAATGACTTTGTGCACTCCCAAATGACGGACACACAACATGCTTCTAATGGAACCAATCCTGCTCGGATGCTCTGAACAGGGAAAGGGTTGGTTTGGGCTTGGCTTTTTCGGGTAAGTTTGGGGATTTTTGGAGGTGTATTTTTTTTTTTTAAAGAAGTCAGTTCAGTATTTTAGTCTAAATAACTCCTTAGCCAAAGGAAGAACAGGCAATCCCAGCTGGGAGTGCTGCCATCACTACATGGGAATCTTGTGTCTGAAAAAGAAATGTGTCTATGCATTTATGCAATGAATAATAAATGCATTTCTTATGAATTAATCAACTAGTCTGTACATGTGCACAGCTAATCATAACAGAACCTCTTACTAATTAATCAGCAGATAAACCTCTACAAATCCTTCCCACTCCTCACTTCCATCCCACAAACGCGCTGGATCAGACTGCTGCTGCAGGGATCCAAGCACAAGCAGAAGCAGTGAGTGCATTTCCCACGAGCCCTCGGGGTGAATACTGCACTGATTTCAGCTCAGGCCCTGCCCCAGCCCACAGCCCGGTCTGTGTGAGCAGGACTGGGCTGACCCTTCCCGAGCCCCTTGGCTGAGCCTCTCCTCAGGATCCGGCACCCCCACACCTGCTGCCACTGGCTGCTCCTCTCAGGACACTGCATTAGTGCTTGGCAAGAATTATGGCATTTAAATGATTAAAATAAAAAAATCAGATTGTATCTACACACAGCAGGGGCTACAAGGACAACTGGCAGGAGAAACATTCCCAATAAATTAAAATCTGGACAGTGGGGAAAAGCAGATTTTTATCCCTCTTCAAAGCCTTGCACACATGCCAAATCCCTGTGTCCCCTCCTGCCCAGCCTTGGGGAGCAGCCCTGTGACTGGAGAGCCCTTGGGCTGCTCCTCTGCAGCATCTCCAGCAGGTCAGAGGCACAGCCCAGCAATGGAGCCAGGGCTGGAGATGGACTCTGGTAAAGCCCCGTGTGCAGCCTCAGAAATGCCCATTTTTAGCTCCAAGTGAGGAGAGGTGTCTTGGGGCAATGTTAAGGATCTCCTGAGATTCAGCTGCTGAAGGAAAACCACAAACGTTCAAGTCCAACAAACATTTGTGTCCATGCTGTGGATCCATGGCAACGCTGTGGTGGGAGCAGGGCTCACCCCGAGCTCCAGCACTGCTAGTGAAACCAGGGGCAGCCTCATGCTCCTGCCGTCCTGGCAAGTGTGCAGGGAAAGGACAGCCCCAACACTCCATCCTTCCCAAACCTGTCTTTGCTAGGGCATAAAGAACCATCTTTTTAATTCCTCTGACAATTTGGAATCTTAACTGCGTTTGCCAAAAGTAAATCCTGTTTAACAAGCAGTTACTTGTTATTGGTAACCCATGGCAGAGGCTCAAATAACTCCTGAACTCATTCCACACCGGGATCACGTTAAAAGTCACTGTGATTCGAGGACTGAGCACAGAAACAGTTTTATACTGGGGAAGCTCTTACCTCTTCTTCTTGGTGATGATGAGGACATCATTGAAGAGGAAGAAGTACACCTGCTGCTTAGAGGTTCTTTTGGAAAAAAGTCCAGTGTCCTCTACATATGCTGTTAATTCACCCCTTTTCACCAACCACCGAGAAGAGGAAACCAATGGAAACGGCTGCAAGGCAAGAAAATCATGTTGTAATCCTTACAAATTAAAAAAAAATTAAAAAACAGAAAAGAGAGTACAATTTATTTGGGAAAAATGCTTGAATAAACTCGAAGCTCAGAGATTACAAACACAAAGAGGTTACCAAAGTTCAAGGGACTGCATCGTTGCTACAACACACAGGTAACAGCTGCAAATACCTGGGAACCACTGGGGCACCTGTCATTGCTGCTCATGGAAAAGAGAAATGAACAGACCTGACTGATCTGCTCCCATGGGGCTGGGACAGGCTGTGAGAGCTCCTGAGGGCACGGAGCAAAGCCTGCCCTCAGCAGTGTGTCTGCAGGGTGAGAGCAGCTCCTGGAGCAGAGGGGACATGGGAGTGTCCCTGGCACCTCAGGGCTCCCCTTGGAGCAGAGGTGACACTCCCTGTGCCGGTGTCACCAGGACAGGTGGGCAGGGTGTACAAACAAACCCTCCTCACCTGGGAGTGCAGGTACAGCCTCCTTCCTTCCCCACCTCTGTGTGCTGTCCTTGGCAGCACCAAGGGAAGGCTGCCATGGCCCTGCTGTGCTCCTGAAGTGTCTCAGTCACCTGTCAGGCTTTGCTGAAAATGCTGAGGAGGGATCCTACAGCTGCTCTCTTTATCCAGCTCGTGGATGGGGCAGGAGCTCCCTTTGCCCCAGGTGAGGGCCAACACCTGCAGCAGCTGCAGCAGAGGACCTGAGCTGCCTGATGTGAAGCCTTGCCTTCATGAACCCACATTATCCCCAGCTGCAGGAGACACAGAGCCCGCAGGAGGCCCTTTTGTCCCTCTGGGCCAGGAAGGTGGAGGGAGGGAGATGTGGGACTGCGCTGGTCACACAGACCCTGCGAGGCTGCCCCCAGACAGACACTCCAGGCACACCAAGGTGATGAGCACAACTGCCTGTTTTCCTTCATTTAAGCACCTTTCCCACACTTTGAACAACATCCCTTCATGCAGTTTGTCAGCTGCCTCCCCCATTCTGCAGGAGTTGGCTTTTCGTCTCTGTTAATCCCTGGCCAAGCCAACTGCAGCCTGCCTGTACCTGCTGAGCCAAACCCAAACCCAGCGCTGGGACTGAGACCTCACTGCTGGAAGAACAAACATCGACTCCCTAAACAAACCCCACAGCTTCTCCCGTGCAAAAGATACAAAATTAAAGAACAAAAACTGCTGAAACTTAATTAAAAATTGAATTCCACAGTTGAGCCATGTACACAAGCACCAGGAGGTTTGAGTCACTTCCCTTGGTTCCCGTGAAGCTCTCCACAGTTACATCCAACTAAATAATAAACAAATCTCCAAAACTCTGTGAGACTGGGCAACAACAGAACTACTTTAACTAATTTATAATGACCATAAAACAGAATTACAGTCCCATGATGATTAGTTTACAAGCAAAAAATACTTTTAAAAGTTCTATTTGAGGATGAACAAAAAATTCCTCTAATCTGTACTCCAAATGAGTTCATCCCATTTTCCTAATTGACTCTCTTCCAGAGACAGCTTGGTTTAAGTTTTCCTGAATTGCCAAAGGAGCAAATCACGTGCACCATGTCCCTGCTGCAGAAAAGAGGCTCTCAGAAGTGAAAAATGCCTTGAACCAGAGCTGGGCTCCCCTGCCCTGGGGCCTGAGGGGCTGCAGGGCTGGGGCTTGGATGCAAAATGGGAAATCTCACACAAAATCGGGGAAAGACAAAGCCCCAGGGCAGGTGGGGTCACCCAGAAGCCACAGAGCCCGAGGGACAGAGAGGGATAAATAAGGGACAATAATAAACAGAGAGGGATGGGCAGGACAGAGAGATGGGCAGGGCAGAGAGGGATGGGCAGGACAGAGAGGGATGGCAGGGACAGAGAGGGATGGGCAGGGACAGAGAGGGATGGGCAGGACAGAGAGATGGGCAGGGCAGAGAGGGATGGGCAGGACAGAGAGGGATGGCAGGGACAGAGAGGGATGGGCAGGGACAGAGAGGGATGGGCAGGACAGAGAGGGATGGCAGGGACAGAGAGGGATGGGCAGGACAGAGAGATGGGCAGGACAGAGAGGGATAAATAACGGACAGAGAGGGATGGGCAGGACAGAGAGATGGGCAGGGCAGAGAGGGATGGGCAGGGCAGAGAGGGATAAATAAGGGACAGAGGGACCCCAGACCCCGAGGGACTCCTGGGATCTGAGGGAACCAGGGAGCAGCCCAGCCCCCACACTGGGCTGGACTCATCAAGATTTGAGTCTGGTACCACCCATCAGGAAATGCTCTGGTGTCACTTGCCCAGAAGTGTTGTGTTTGTTGTTGCTGTTGCTATAAGCAAATATTATTACCATCAATTTTTAGACAAAATTTGAGAATAAAATACTTTATGCAAGTTGAAAATGTCTTTTTGGAGGCAGCATTTGCCCCAAGCTGACCCAGGGCCTTTCAAGAGCTGTGCTTTTAAAACCATGAACCAGCCTCCACTCACTACATGCCTGATAATGAAACAATCTTCTCCCAGAAGAATCCCCATTGTGTAATGGTATCAGACATCAATTATAGAAATGGGATTGCAGCAAACATTGAATAGAAACAATAAATGTACTTGAACAAAGTCCAATAAGTATCCCCTACCTATGACTGGGTCTGCTGGTGTTTCCTACAAAAGACTGATAGTACAGGAAGTATTTAATAGAAACCTGTGATATCCCACCCTTGAGGGGAAGGACAAACACCCCCTGGATCCCTCCCTGGCCTGGAAGTGTTTTCCCAGGCACACCTTTCCCATCAGGTACATAAGCAAATCTGAGCAGCGAGCAGCAGCCTTTGGCCTCTCTCCTGATGCCAAAATCTTCACAGCAGTTTTATCTTTACAGCAAAGAATACTCTACACTCAGTATTTATTCAAAATCCCTTGTGCTGTAGCATCACCTTCTAATAAAATTAAAATACTTGACCAAAAGTTTTAATTTCTGTCATGCCACAACAGTTCACTTTTCCAGAATCACTGTGCGATAGGACCATGCTGGTGATGCTCCCCTGTTCACTGTCCTGGCCGGTCAGGACCACGCTCCTCGTCCTACCTTGATTTTGAATTCCAGCTGGGAGTTAATGGTGTACATCATCTCCGTCCTCTCCATCTTGCGGGCGCCCTCGTTGCACAGACGCACGAGCTGCAAACGGGACAGGGCTGAGCAGGGCCTGCAGCACAGCCTGCTGCTCCTGGGGAGGCACTGCTGGGGCACGGGGGCAGCAGGGCACGGAGGCACTGCTGGGGCACGGAGGCACTGCTGGGGCACAGAGGCACTGCTGGGGCACGGGGGCACTGCTGGGGCACAGAGGCACTGCTGGGGCACGGGGGCACTGCTGGGGCACAGAGGCACTGCTGGGGCACGGGGGCACTGCTGGGGCACGGGGGCACTGCTGGGGCACGGGGGCACTGCTGGGGCATGGGGGCACTGCTGGGGCACAGAGGCACTGCTGGGGCACGGGGGCAGCAGGGCACAGAGGCACTGCTGGGGCACAGAGGCACTGCTGGGGCACGGGGGCAGCAGGGCACAGAGGCACTGCTGGGGCACGGGGGCACTGCTGGGGCACAGAGGCAGCAGGGGCACACACCCCAACAAGGGCACGGGGGCAGCAGGGGCACACACCCCAACAAGGGCACGGGGGCAGCAGGGGCACACACCCCAACAAGGGCACAGAGGCAGCAGGGCACAGAGGCACTGCTGGGGCACAGAGGCACTGCTGGGGCACAGAGGCACTGCTGGGGCACAGAGGCACTGCTGGGGCACAGAGGCAGCAGGGACACACACCCCAACAAGAGCACAGAGGCAGCAGGGCACAAAGGCACTTCTGGGGCTCACATCCCAGCAGGGGCACACACCCCAACAGGCGCACTGCTGGGGCACAGAGCCAGCAGGGCACAGAGCCAGCAGGGCACAAAGGCATTTTTGGGGCACAGACCCCAGCAGGAGCACATCCACCTCACCGTGGTGTTTGCAGGGCCACAGTGACCAGGGCTGGCCCCGTGGCTGCACTGCTCCCAGCTCCCCCTGACCCCAGTGGTCCCACAGGAACCCCATCATTTGTGATTCTCCAGCAGGAACAAAGGTTCAGCCCCATTCTGGCTGAGCAGGGCACTGCTCTGACCCAGGCTGATGATCAGCTCCACACACACACCCTCCTCCCAGCTGGATTCACTTCCCACGCTGCTCCCCTCACAAACCCAGAATCTCCACAGTATCACCCACTTTGGGATCCCTTCCCAAGTAGGAGGCAGTAATTCTGCACAAACCCAATCCCCAGTGCCCTTCCTTAAATACAGCAATGCAGAGCCTTCAGTGCTCCTCCCGTCTGCAGTATTTATGCATGGAAAACATCCATTTTTCCCTGGAAGTACTCAGGAATTACTTGAGAGCATACCTTGCTGACTTCCTTCAGAGCCTGCTTGCAGTTCTCGTATTTTGCTGAATCCTTGGGAGTCTTCTGGCAAATAGTCTGGAACAAAACATCAGTTACTTCAGAGGACCAAGCAGCACAGACTGCAACCCACAGAGATTTCACATCTTAACTGAAATCCAGGAGCTGAATCACAGCTGTGGACTGAGATAAAGAGGGATCTCCGGTCACTCAGTCACACCAAGGAAAGCCTCCCTGCAAAGGTTTGGGAACAAAGTGATGAAAAACCTCTCAAGATGAGGTTTATACAAAAAACAAAACTGAAAGAGTGGGAAATAAAATGCTAGATCTGATTGTTTAGATTATTTCAGCCAAAGAGGGGAAGGAGGTATAGGAAAAAAAACCAAGAAGGGGAAGGCACCGCCAGTGACACTCTGCAGGAATACTGGATTATTATTCCATTTTTTACCTAAAAACATACTGCAGAGAAGAGAGAATCCAATATCCATGAACGAACTAACTGTCCAGGTGATCAAATTACTCAGTGCTCAATTTAAAAATATACAAACAAAATTATCAGTTCTGTTTGTGGCTCCCACCAGTGCTGGAATGTGAGCCTGATCACAATCTGCACTCCTGCTGGTGATTCAGCTCCTCACTTAGTCCTGGCACCTTAGATGAAATACCCCTTAGTCCTGACACCTTAAGTGAAATACCCCATCTCCTGGTGTGAATTGTGCCTGCCAAACACTCCATGATGGCACCCCCATCACTCTGAGTCCCTGGTCACTGCACAGGAAGGGACAGCTCAGTGCCACTCAATGGAGTTCAGCTTCCCAGAGTATTCCCTGCCTGAGGGCCCTCGGCCATCCTACAGGACAGCAGGTCTTGTTTTTCAGCTGCAGGGTGCATTTCAATCCTAGCACCACATACAATTCCTGGGCTGGTTCCTCCTGAGTTTCAGAACCATTCTGACCCTTTACTGTACAATTTCCCACTAGAACATCCAAGCATTTAACTTGTGAATGGGGGAGCAGGAAGGCCCAGTTCCAGTCAGCAAAAAATGCAGCAGGAATCCACAATCCACAGCCCAGGAGTGCTGTAAGGGAGAAGGCAGGAAGAGACTGGAGAGACCCAGAACTGAGAGAATGTTAACAGTGTGAGAACAAGCAGCAGGAAAGAGGGAAGCAGGTGCTCTCACATCCATCAGCAAGGGCAGACGAGTGACTCTCTGCATGGGGAGGATGAGGAAGGAGATCATGGGCAGGTTCCTGCAATCCTCGTGGGACTCGATCCGGGACAGCACCTCCTTAAACGCTGGGTTTGTGGCTCTGGGGGAAAGAGGACGGAACAATTCAATGGGATGTTCTCCCAAACGATTATGAGAGTTGCTACATTTTAAAAAAAACATGATTTTATAAAAAGGAAGTGTGATTTGCAGGAGTCAGACCACCCCAGCCTTCAGCTTTATTCTCTCAGATCCACCAGCCCCAGCACTGACATTAAAGCTCAGGAGCTGCCACCCCTGACGGTGAGGGCAGACCCAGGTGTGCCACACAGGGAGGGCCACTGTCCCACTGTGTGACACTGAACTGAACTGACGGAGGAGGGGAGTGTGAGCCACGACCCGGCAGGAGGAGGTGCCCAGCAGGGCCAGCGCAGCCCGGCTGGGAGCTCCCCCAAAGGGGTGTACCCACAAAGGTGCACGCAGAGCCCCCCAGCCCCGGGAGCCCTGCAGGGGGCTCTCCGTGCTCACAGCAGTCTCTGCAGGGTGCGCTGCTGGTACACCTCGTTGGTGCAGTACTTCACGTAGGGGTCGAAGGTGGAGCCCGCGTGCCTCGCCACGATGTCGCTGATGTCCTCGATGAAAATGTTGTTCTGGTGCCTGGCCTCCAGCTCTTCAAAGAACCTGGGGGGTTAACAGTCACTGCTCACTTCTACATGCAAACAGCATCTTCCTCTCGCAGCATTCCCCTGACACAGCCCTGTCACCAACCCATGCCAGCTGGGCTGGCCTTGACAGGGCGAGGCCGCCCCTCCTTTGGCAGGGCAGCGAGGGCAGGGCTGGCAGGACACGGCCCCAGGGCACGGCCCCAGGGCACAGGACACGGCCCCAGGGCACGGCCCCAGGGCACAGGACACGGCCCCTGGCAGCTCAGCAGCAGCGCTGGCACAGCCACTTCCCACTCCCCCATGCCACAACCAAACAGCATCACTGAGCTGGTCAGACCAGAATTTCCAGAAACAGGGTTGGAAAAGAAATGAAACGACTTCATACCCACATTAACACATTTCCTCTTGCAATTACAGGCAGCACAGCAGCAGAAGTGCTCGATGGAGCACAGGCATGTGGGGCTCTGAGCCATGTGGTGGTGGAGCAGCACACGGTGCTCCACATCCTGCAGCCCTCCACTGGAACCAAACAGGGACTGGAAGCACTGAAAATGGGCACAGAACCCAAAATGCTGAGCTGGCCCTTCCCCTGACCATGCTGTTCTGACAGCTTCCCTGCTGTCTCTGTCCCACATGTGAGTGTGGCCACTGATGCCTCCCACTGCCTTCTGCACTCCCAACGCTCCCAAAGCACCAGCCCTGATTTCCATGGTGCCCACTGGAAATGCCCCCCTGCTGGGGTGGAACAGCTCACAGAGCAGCTCTGCAGGTCACCCCTCACACATGAAATGCTGTCCTGGCTGAAGCCTTTGTACATCAGCATTCACTGCAAGAACCCTCAACTCCCTGCAGTCAACAAGTTCATACAAAAATCCTCATACAGCACAGAAAATATCAAGGAAATACTCAGAACACATGAGCTCACATTAAGCTCCAATATTTTGAAATCTGTTTTATTTAATTTCAGCCCTTCATTCAATATTTTAATCGCTAACACTGGCTCTTCAAATCTGCCACTTTTTTCAAGTGATGCCCTCCACAGTTTGCTTTACAAACACACCTCAAACATGCTAGAGGAGCAGAACAGGCTGAGCAGCAGCTGAGTGTGTGCAGCAACAGAGCTTAACTAAATGAAGGCACCCTCCAGGTGTGCTCAGAAGCAGCTGCTGCACGGAGTGGCCGCCAGGCTCTCGGTGGGGCAGCAGAGCCACCACAATCGAGTGGATTTTGGTCTGGTTTTGGGTTTTGTGACGTTGTGACACAGGAACTGCAGATGGACTGGCAGACTAACAGGCTCAGCCTGCAAGCACTGGGCAGGGTTTGTTACAGCCCTGTCTCTGCAGCAGGCAGAGCCCTGAGCACCTCCCGTGCCCCACGCAGCCCCTCCAGGGCACAGCACCTCCTGAGCTGCCACAGACCCGTCCTGTGCCGTGGGCTCGGGTTCCGCGCCAGGGCCAGCCCCAAGGGGCACATAAATAATAAAATCACAGAAAAAAGAGCCTGCAATATGGAGCCTGCAGTGTCCCAGGAGGCACAGCAGAGCCCCATCCCACACTGGGATTTGTTTCTCTCTGCTCAGACATGTTTATGGCTGGGAGAACCTCCCACTGCTGCCAATTCACTTTGCTCAGGAAATGAGGAAATCCAACATTTCCTGCTGTGCTATGGCACGCTGACAAGGTGTTGGACCCTGCTGGGCCACAGCTTCCACCTTTAGAATTTATCTGGTGCTTCATCAGTGACATCAGCACAGACAGTCCCTGTAAGAACAGTGAAGACATGGGAGAGGAGAAGACAGAAAAAAAAAGAAAAGCAAAAAGGGAAAAGAGAGACAAAGAGGAGCAGTATATCAAAGTCCCATCTCCCAATATGTCCCATAAGGAAATCCTGCATTCAAGTTTGAATCAAAAGCTGTAGTTTTCCATATCCAATCTGCTAATTATTGGATACAACCAGTGAACCAGACACATCATAAACCCTTTCACTCACAATTTTAGGATAGATTCTGCCATAGAGCTCAAGACTGAGGGATGGAATGATTCCATTCAATTTAACCAACAAGGAGTTTGCTGTGATGTGTGCAGCTATTTTTGCTGAATGTCAAGAATTATTTACTTCAAACATCTCTTTGTTAAATCCAGGACTTTTCTGGTTAAAGTTAGATCCAATTCAGAGAAAGTCAAACAGCATTGTAGGACAGAATTTGATTTCCCTCCTCTTGTCCTTACACTGTTTAAAGAACCATCCACTCTGCAGCACTCCTGAAGGCCAAATTCAAAACGCCGGTTTAGCTCCAGGGTGCTGCAGGGACAGAAACCAGGGGAGGGGCAGCAAGCAGAACTCAGCCTCTTCCCCCTGGAGATAGGGGCTCTGATATGTGCAGCTGTTACCAGAGCAACAACTGTCACCTTGAGATAACTTCAGCCAGCAGTAACAGAGATTTCTGATTAACCTCTCCAAACCTGAGCCTTCTCATCAGGGACAGAAGCTGAACATCTGCAACACGACTGTCATTTAGGGAAGGGGAGGGGGATTTAAAATAGTGAAAATAGGAAAAATAGTCTTATTTCCATAGAATCTTCATGCTGAATCAAAATAAAAAAGGGCTGGAGAGAGGGTTATTAAAGTGCAGAACTGAAATCAGTTTGAGTTGCCACAGTCTCAGCAATGGAAGCCAACACACAGCTACACACACAAATGCAACACCTGAGCCCACAAAGCTCCTTTCACTGGGCAAGGGCCAGGCAGGAGCAGCTGGCCCTGCAGCCTGGGTGCCCCCTGGGTGCCCCCTGTGCCCAGCCCAGCCCCAGGCTGTGGGAACATGGAATGGGAGTGTCTGCGAGTCACGAACCCAGCACAACCAGAGTGCTCAATCCTGTCCCTCTGTGACTGAAACAGAGTTTTAAACCTGACAGAATCTGTTAAAATGGTTTTGTTGGGATCTTTTTCTGCCAATGCTGCTCTGGTATCACAGAATCATCTGCCTTCTGCTGGTCTAATGGCAGAGAAGGCACAAATTGCTAAAGCTTTCCTTCTTCCTATAAACTGGGGATGTGACCCTGCAGACCAACTGCTCCTGAAGACCAGAAAATTCCCTCATTTCCCTGGGACTCCTCTTTCCCCAGAGAGGCTCCTGGGGGGCTGTCTGACCTGACAGTGCTTTCTCAGGCTGCATTCCTGGCTCAGCTGCTCCCCGGCATCCCCACAGCCCAGCCCAGCAGCTCCTGCCCAGGCTGCAGCAGCGAGGGTTCCAGCACATCACACAAGGGTCAGTGCGCTCCAGCCCTCTGAAGCCACCTCCCAGGAGCTCCCACAAACACACACAGCAGGTGCTGCACAGGTTATTCATCCCCTCTCCTCTGCCACAGACACTCCAGGGAGCTCCCACTGTCACAGACAGTCTCTGCTCTCTGCACTCTGCTCCCAACAAAGGCAGCTTTGTTCCCCCAGGAATGCCCTGTCAGGCACTGCAGGCCCATCCTGGTGTTACTGGAGAGTTGCCATTAAATGTGTTCCAAGTCAAAGTTCCTAGACAGAGGCTTTAAGCAGTTTCAACTAAAGGTTTTTATAAAGTATTCCCATCAGCTCAGGTTCTTCAGCTCACCAATCTTTTGTCCCAGCAACCAAAACCACTGGTAACTACACTCATACTCAGGTTTTGTACTAGGCAAAGGCTGCTTAAAAACCAGCAGAATGGGAGAGACTCCACTTTAAAGTGAAAAGGTGGATTTTGTTACTTTGAAACCCCTTGAAAACAGAAAGCAGCAGTTTGGAGATACCAAGCGGGTATCTGGTTTAAAATCACTTCCATTGTTTACAGAAATGACGTTGCTCAAAGCCAGCACACAGTTTTGTTTTAGTTTAACAGTATTGCAAAACTTGGGAGATAAATTATGTTTTCATTTAGGTTTAAAAAGGAGTTATGACTTCTGATTTTACCCCAAGTCATAAAAACCCAAGTTCTAAAACCATGAGACTTCACACACAAGAAAGGATAAGATTCCAACTCTAGGCTAATGTGGTATTTTTCCATCCCTTTTTTTCCTCTCCCTCCCACTTCCTTTGAAGACTATTAATCAAAAGGGATGTTAGAGTTCCCCTAAGAGCATTGCTCTCCCCATCCCCATTGTCCTTTACTTTCACACCTCACACTGTGTAAGGAGCACCTGTAAAAGGAACTTTTCCTGGAAAATGAAGCCTTTGATGAGCTGCACTCCCTGACGCCAGTGCCACCAGACTGGGGTGGCTCTGGGGCCACACAACCCCAGCCTCTGGCAAAGGGCTCAACTGCAAGAAACAAAGAAAGGGGTAGGGAGGGAGAAAGGAAGGGTCCCCAGCCAAACCCAAACATTCTCCTGCTCTGTAGTTCCTGAACTGGGTTTGCACTTGACACAGAACATCAGCCTCCAAAAAACAAGATCTTGCTGCTGCATGAACTTCAGAAGAAAAAAGTCAAACTGTTGCACAACAAATGTTAAATTCCACAGACTTTGTGGTGTCTCAGAGAAAAAAGCCAAGAAATGACTTTACTGTGACTGGGGACATGGACCTTCACAAGTTTCACCAAGGTAAATGAGGGTTTAATGCTAAAGAAGTCACAAAGGGGACAAAAGAAGGGGGAGCAAAATAAAAAACCACTCAGAATCCTTGTTCAACCCTCAGCCCTTTTCTGAAAGGAGCCCAATATTTCTCTGTTCCACAGGTAAAGAGATCCATGTAAAGCTGTGCAGAGCCACAGCTGTGAGCACTCAGTACCTTCACCAGCCACTGCAGCCACTGTGCTCACTGCAGACTGCAAATCAGGGACAGGAAAAGCAACACAGACAGGCTGATGCTTTAGTTATGTGGAATACATAATCCACCTGCTGCTGTGAACAGAACAAATGGCAAGGAAGCCAAGCCACTTCCAGTAACTTTGTGAAAGAGAGTGCGAAGTACTCTGAGAGCACATACATATGCATGTCCTGGATTAAATAACACTGGCAGTAATTACCAGCCAGCAACAAGACTCCTCTGCACTTGTATCTTGTAAGATCTGCCATTTCCTCCTCTCCAGGCACTATCTGCAGCGTCTGTTTGCCTGGCTGCAGACTGAAGGAATGTGCCCCAAAGCAGCAGAGCAGAGCAGAGATGCCCCCGGCAGCAGAGCCAGGCCCTGGTGCTCACACAGGGGTGGGTGAGAGTCCCAGAGATGCCCCCGGCAGCAGAGCCAGGCCCTGGTGCTCACACAGGGGTGGGTGACAGTCCCAGAGATGCCCCTGGCAGCAGAGCCAGGCCCTGGTGCTCACACAGGGTGACAGTCCCAGAGATGCCCCTGGCAGCAGAGCCAGGCCCTGGTGCTCACACAGGGGTGGGTGACAGTCCCAGAGATGCCCCTGGCAGCAGAGCCAGGCCCTGGTGTTCACACAGGGGTGGGTGACAGTCCCAGAGATGCCCCTGGCAGCAGAGCCAGGCCCTGGTGCTCACACAGGGGTGGGTGCCAGTCCCAGAGATGCCCCTGGCAGCAGAGCCAGGCCCTGGTGCTCACACAGGGTGACAGTCCCAGAGATGCCCCTGGCAGCAGAGCCAGGCCCTGGTGCTCACACAGGGTGCCAGTCCCAGAGATGCCCCTGGCAGCAGAGCCAGGCCCTGGTGCTCACACAGGGTGCCAGTCCCAGAGCACAGCACGCCTCAGGACAGACCTCTGCACCCCCTGGCACCAGCCAGCTCTGCAGGGCAAGCATGGAACTCCAGCTCCAGTTCCACAGCTCAGCAGGGCACACTGAGCTTTATCTGATGCCCTGTAGGGACCAGGTCTGAATGCCTGAGCAGCATTTGGCCTAGAACTGCTCACATTTGAAGGATGCTGATCCCCACTATGATTCACTCTGTGCTTTCCCTTCCCTCCCATTTTCAGAGACACCAATCCCAGGCCAGCCCTGCTGACACTGCTGTGCAGATCTCTGCCACTTGTACTTCCCACCTGCAAACCAGCAGGAGCTTGGGAAGAAATGCTCACCACTAAAACGGATAACTCAGCATCCAAAGAGAAACCTGCTGCTATGTTTAAGGACGCACAGCTCTGGTAAGTACAGAAATGCCACGCTCACTTTTTGCTTGCTTCATAAACATCCGTGATGTTGGAGAAGAGGTGGTGGCTCTCTGTTTTGGTCATTGTGAGGCTCAGTTCCCTGGAATTTTTAAACATCCGGATCAGAATCTCCAGGCTCAGCAAGTAGGAGTGCTCAGAAGAGATCACCTCAAATATTGCCTGCAAAGTGAAGGGGGGAAAGAAGAGACTTACTAGTGATTGGGCTTTTTTCCTTAAAAACAAAAAGAAAATGTTGAGCAGGAGTGCAAAGCAAAGTTTTGGATGTAAACTAGAGATTATGACTTAAATGTTCATCTCTATAATAGTTGCATCATTAATTATAAATAAGTTATTTGATACTAAGAAAAAAGTCTTTGTTAACAAGTCTATATTCAGAGTTTTCAGTGCAACTGCAAACAGGAGACGGAAGAGAATTCCACACAGGAGTGACCCAAGAGCACAGCAGTGAGGCTGGAGGGAGCAGGCTGAGGCCCCTGGTGGAGCTTTCCCAGGCTGGGAACAAAGCCACCAGCACAGCAGGGATGGGGCAGACACTGCTCCTGGTGTGCAAGGAAGGCAGAGACAATCACCTCACCATGGCCCCACCACACTGCCGAGAACAAACTCCAGAGCAGGGTGCCTGACACACGGCCAGGGGCTGGGGCAGCTCCCTGGTGCCTGCTGGCACTGCTGGGGGGCACCTGGAGCCACACTGGGGCTCCTCTGCACAGACCAGGGTCAGGGCACCCTGGTGCAAACCCCAAGGACAGTTTCACTCTCAGGGGGCCAGGGGCACCCTGCAGCTGCTACACACACAGGATCTCAGGCTTGCACGGAAACACCTACTGAAAATAGGCCAAATCAGTCTGTGACACATTTTCTTTAGCCAAAAAATGCACAGATACCCATCTCACTAACAGATTCTGAAAGATGGGATGTGTATGAAGACAGGACATGGACATTAATCAAGGCAGAAGACAAATATATTTTTCTGCAGTGATAATGTATATAACTATAAAACAATCTAATAGGCTCTAAAAAGCAATTCAAAGAACGGATAAAGAATACACGATAAAAGGCACTTTAAAAGAAATACAGCAAAAGCATGAATTGGTAATGTACCTACAGCTTAAAAATATTTATTTAGGCTCCCACTGAAAGAACTGGCCTCTAAAATTCAAATTAAAAACCCCCAGGCATGAAAACATTTTTTGGTAACATTGAAGACTTTACATTTAAAAGGAATCCAAAGAACTTGTTCTTTTTGAAAGGATGCAAGTATGGCTCCAGGAAACACTGACTAAGGGCTCCTAAAGGATATCACTGAAATACATGCCTTGTCTCAGAAGCTTCCCAGCAGGAGGAGGCTGAGCAATGCCCTCAAGAGGAAAGAAGGCACTGGGGCAGATTGCCACGGCAGGCAATGCTGCAGGGCTCCTAGCCAAGCCCTGCTTGCTGGGAAGGACACGCCTGGGGAGGAGCTGCAGGGACACAGCTGCCCTGGCCAGGTAGGCTTGGCAAGCTCCCCTTCCCTGGGACACAGCCCTGCAGGGAGGAACGGGGGCACAGCACACGGACAGGACACAGGAGCAAAGGGGACAGGGAAAGGGGATGGAGAGGACACAGGAGCAAAGGGGACAGGGAAAGGGGATGGAGAGGACACAGGAGCAAAGGGACAGGGAAAGGGGATGGAGAGGACACAGGAGCAAAGGGACAGGGAAAGGGGATGGAGAGGACACAGGAGCAAAGGGACAGGGAAAGGGGATGGAGAGGACACAGGAGCAAAGAGAAAAGGAAATTGGATGGAGAGGACACAAGGAGCAAAGGGACAAGGAAAGTGGATGGAGAGGACACAGGAGCAAAGGACAGAGAGAGAACAGACAAGCACCCTGGTGCTGCTGCTGCCATCAGGGAGCCCCTGCCCTGCTGCAGGGCTCAGGGACCAGCTGGGCTCCAGCAGGCACACCCCGTGCCCAGCACTGCCCACAGGGGTGGGTACAGCTCTGTAGAAGCTGCTCTTTGCTCCCCACTGCTATGGAAACTCCTGTGCCACATTTCCTTCCCCTCTGTGAGCCGGAGTCCCTGTCACCCCTTCCCTGGCACAGCAGCGACCCTGGCGCTGCCAGGCTGGAGCAGCCCAGGAGCCCCTGGCATGGACACAGGCACCTCAGCACACTCTGGGCTCATTTTTTCTCCCTGGGGAGAGAGGAGACTTCACTGGAGAGCAGGAAGCCAAGCAATGAACTCTTATCAACAAGCAGAGCTCTGAGGCAGGCGTGCAGTGCAGCCCTGAGCAGCAGCCCCAAAACACAGAGTACCTCCTGTCTCTTCCTTTCCTCCTGGCTGATGGCTTCTGACAGGCCGTTCTTCTTCACCTACAAAGACAAATCAATCGATGTTTTAATACCTTTTGTGGGGAAATGTGATTAAAAAGAGAGACAGGACTACCAAAACCTAGAGAGCAAAGCACCAAGGAGGGCCTGGCTCTACAGGAGTTCTAAACACAGGACCCAGGTCAGGAGGGACACCAGGGCAAGGGAAGGGAAAGGGCACAGCACCACGCACGTGGAAAGCCCTGCTCTCTTTGTGGAGCAGAGGCACATCACAGACACCAGACCCACACCCATTTCTGTCAGTCTTCTCCTAACATGTTATCACCAACAGCTTTCTCTTCTTGCTCCACCTGCTCCCCGGCATTTTAAAGGATACATTATTCCTCATTTTGCTCCTGCCCAGCAGGCCCCACAATGCTGGGCAGCAGGAATAAGGAGGTGCCACACTCTGGTCTGCACACCACAGCACAGAGTCACAGGTAAATGCCTGTGGGTGTTACAGCAACATTCCAGTGTGGGAGGCACCAGCCTCTGGAACACAACTCCCAGACCCCCATAGCACCACGGGCAGACACTTCTGGATGCTGAGCAAGAGCTAATTAGACGGCTTTTTATTTAACAATTAAAGTACATCTTAATCAGGAGCCTGAAAGCTTCAGAGCATTCCTGAGGAAGTGCAATGGCACTGAAAGGCGCAACGTAACTTTTTTCTGGATGCCGTGGAAGAGTTTTCTAAAAATGCACAGCACAGGAAATAGCTAGGAACACATCCCCCAGATTTCAGTGCTCCCTGTTAACACAGACAGCGCCAGAGCGCAGGGAGCTCCACGGGGCACCTGCTGAATTCCTGCTCCAAACTGCAGCTGGCACACACGGGTGTGTCCCACTAAGTACACAGCAATTCAGGGCACATGAACTCACAGCCAAGGGCCCAGCCTGACACTCCCCACCAACAGCAATGCTTCCAAAAGACAGAGACCCAGACGTGGAGACTGCTCTGGCCATTTCTGCCAAAGAAAATTCAATACCTAATTTTGATGTGTCCAAAATGTTTCAGCTGAAGTAATCTAAAAAAACATCACATGTGTGATACTAAGCAAAAAAACCCCTTTATTTACACTAAGAATATGATCAGAAGGAACAAAAGAGGCCCAACATCACTGCTACTAACACTGGAGTGACTCGTCCCCACCAATGGCTGATTCAACCATGGAGGTGAGAAGCAAAGGATGAAAGGAGGACAGGTGAACTCCATTCAGGGACAAAAAGTGCCTTCAAAATGAGGAGGTGCTGAAAGGGGGAACTCAACAGGAATCTACTAAGTGGCTGCACCACAGCCAAAGTGACCACAAACCCTTTAGTACAGGGAGAGAAAGGTGCAGACATCAGCCCTGAAGGCCCCAGAGAGCCACACCAGGGGTCTGGGCTGGTACCACGGAGGGGAGGCAGCCCTGGACAGTGACCCTGGGCAGTGACCTGGGAGTGGCTCCCTAAAGCCACTCACAGCACCTGAATTTTACATGAATGAGAAACCAGTCACATCTGAGGTCAACACGTGTGAATTCACTTCAGGAAGACAGAAACACCCTTTATATTGCTGTTCTCATGAAGAATCTGAGCACTCCATGCCTGAAGGGCACTACCCTCAGGCACAGCGCGGTGGGAGCTGCAGCAGTGCCAGGGCAGCCTCCTGCAGACAGGGGATCCTCTGCCCCTGCCCTCGCTTTCCCAGCACAGGCACTGCTCACAAACACCACAGGCATTCTCCTCCTCCTTTCCTAGCATATGCTGAAACCCAGGACTGACATTTTCCAGCTGACTTCCTGCAACAACTCCAGACTCACTTTTTAACTTCTTAATACACATTGACAGCATGTAATTTTTCCAGAGTTATGAACACAGTCACTATGAGTCTCACGTTCCCAGATTCTGTTTTCTCCATGCACCACCTTCTCCCATATACTCCCCACTTCCAATTTTGCAAATCAAACACAGACAGTGCACAAGTTTGTGTGTGAGGAGCAGTAAAGAACAAGCTGGTTTCTGTAAGTGAAGCACAGCACAGTTCTCCTCCTGAGATGGTCCTCATGCTATTTCTGTCTCAAAGCAAATTAGTGTTTTGAAATTATCATTATTATTATTACTAAATAGCGTTCCTTCCAAAATACCTCAGCTGTTGAACATTTAACTGCTAGTTCCCCCAGAAGGCAGAAAAAACAATTTGACTTCATTATAAACACTTTTTTTTTTTGCAACATGAAGTCAATGAACTGTATTTTAAGTATTTGATTGTTGGAAAAAGAAAATTAAAGCACATATTTACAAAACCGCATTGTCTTGCCTTCATTATAATTACTGAATCAGAGAGATTCATCTTTCAATACTTTAAAGTGCAAAGGGTCATCAGCATCTGTAAGACAGCTCTGCTAATCAGACCATCTAACCAGCCTTTGGGGCGCTCCCTGAGGCTTAATCCCTCATTTATTGGTATGTACAGAGCTGATGGTCAAATACTGCAGGTGATCTTGTCATGGCAGAATCTCTCTAATGCCTGAGATGAGCATCTACAACATTCTACAAGTTACATTAACAAAAAACAACCCCAAACCCTTCATTATAGGGATATCGCTCCAGAAGGCACAGAAATGGCCCAGAATTTTTATGGTTCCTTCGGTCCCAAAATCCCATGTACGGGAAAGAGCTGTGGCAGTAGCAGCTGCTGTCAGTGATCTGCCAGGTTATGGGCAGGGAAGGCAGTGAGACCGCAGCCCTGGGCAGAAGAGCTGAATTCCCTTTGTTTAACGATGCTGCTCTGCCAAGGCCCTGCAGACACTTCCCAGCCTGTGCAAGGGACAGCACAGCACCGGCAGCTCTGCTCTGCACTTCTCAAAACGCTTTCCATTAAACACCTGCACTCGAGCCAGCCTAAGAGCTGCTGGGCACTGATTTAGAACAATTCAGCAGCAACTTGCTTGTAACTAACTGAAGCCTTTCTTTAGTATAATTCACCCTTTTAGTGAACTCACACAACTCTTTTTTTAATGAATCAGTAAAGTTGTGCCTTTGCCAAGTACAGGCCTCTAAAATGAACTTGGTTTAATTGTTTTTTATGTGAAACAAAGACCAGTAACTGACTGGGACCTCCATGTCGTTGTTATGATGTGACAAAGATGATGACAAATTTCAGCCAAAAACTCCAGCAGCAAGTAAGAGAAGACTTTGCTTCTGCCCACCCTGAGATGCTGTCTGTGGCCATACAACTCACCACAGAGAGCTGGCTCCACGTCGACCTCAGGGGCTTATAGTGAAAAACAACCTTGTCATCCAACTTCTGCTCTTGGGGCTCAGACTCTTCATCAGAATCTATGTCCAGAGCTTTTTCCTTATAGTTCTGATATAATACAGCATTTTCTGTCAAATAACAACAGTACGTCAGTCATTGCTAGAAAGTTAGTTTAGTTGGTCTCATAAAAATTTAAAGTAACATTTAAACAATGGAAGAAACCAAAGTGTCACTGTGCTGCTCACACTCCACAAGACAAAGATAGCGACTGATTTGGGCTGGACAATGGTGCAGTACAGTGACAATGGATCACTGTACCCAAAGATCCTCCCAGACCGAATTAAAGAACAGATGTGGCCTTTGTCAAGAAAAAAAAATAGCAAACAATTTTTTCTTCCTTGGTTTGCTGTACCCAGTTCTGTAATTAACCAGCAATTAGAAAACAGGATTGCGTGTCAGTGGAGCAGTCACTGATGTGCAGGTCTCACTATTTTCATGTCCAGGAAAAGCACACTGCCCAAGCCAACCCTTCTTCTGTCAGCTCTAAATACTGTCTTCACATTTCACTGTTTCCCAGTTTCAGAGATCTGAGGTCAGAACTATTCCAAATAGAAAGTTAAAAGCCTGTCTGAGTAAGCAGGAGACCTATGAACCTCCAGACCAAATACCCTCCTGGTGTGTTTGAGTTGTGCCATCATTAATTGAGAACTATCAGCGGCAAAGGAACACAGGCGTGGAGCACTCTGCTGCTTCCCAACCTCCCTGGCCACACACCCCTGGCAACAGCAGTGAGCAAGGACAGAAATTCTACACCACAAAAACCCACAGGCCAACTCAGCCATTAAGCAGGCAGGCTCTGAAAGGTACTTTTAGATGGGCCAGGCTTTGGAGAACATCCAATCTTCCCCTACAAGAGAAGGGGGAACTGAAGTGGAAGTTTGGCTGCTCCAGGCAGGGCCCCACCTCCTGCGGCCCCTCACCTGGCTGGGTGGGTCTGTCCCCCCTGCTCAGACCAGGTGTGGCCTTTGGAGCAGCTTTGGGGCAGGGCCTGTTGAGTTTCTACACTTTCAACTGAGGAAACTGGCACAGCAACTGAACTGGGGGAGGCATTCCAGAGAAAGTTATTAGCTGGGATCATCCCAGACAGACAGGATCATTGAAGAGAATCCAGAAAACATCATCAGGAGATAGCGTGAGAAGAGATAAAAATAAAGAGTAGGAAAGGGGATGATGCAAAGAGAACACAGTGGGAAGCTCTGAAAACAGAAACAAGAGGAAGGTAACACAGCTGAGATGACCTCAAAGAGGCATTAAACAGGGAAAAGCCACGAGAGTAGCAGTTATTGCAACAGAACTTCTGTGGACTTATCATAGATGTTTTCTTGTTGAAATATTGGGAAAAACAGCAAACTTGGCAAACCCAGAATTAACGAGTACCACAAAAATACAGCTCCACAGACAGTGTTTTCCTGACACTTATATCTGAAGCCTAAGCAGCAAGAAATGAAAATGCTTACAGAGCCCAAGGGCCGAGCCCAGCACCCCGAGCTGATGAGAAGGCACAAACAGCTGTGTGACCCCCCAGCCCAGGGTAACGACTCAGGGGCGTGCTGCAGGGAGGGCCCAAACCCCCGATGGATCAGATGTCCGGCCCCTGGGCACAGCCCCACAACAGGCAGGAGGGCAGTCCCACCTCGAGGAGCTAACTGTGGAACTGCACAGAGCTGACAGGGCTGAGGCAAACACAGCCAACAGCTCCGGTTTGGGGAGGGACAGGAGCTTAAGCGGAAAAGAAGCCCTTGACACACCTTTTTAGTCTGCCACTTCATAGTCTTTAAAATAGCCCTAAGGTAGGTCTAGTGCCAAAATTATAGTCCCAAATCTCAGCTGCATTACTGAAAAAGAAGGCACTGAGTCTTTGACTCCGTACAAAGGAAGTGTGCAAAACGATCCTGAAGTTCATTTCCCTTGGGAGTTATTAGCAAGTCTGGACAGAACAGGACTCACCTTCCCCATCGAACGTCCCTTGTCCTTTCAGCATCTTCTGCGGGTAATTTTAAGAGAAAAGAGAGATATGTTAGAAGGAGGAGAATGCAAAATAATCACAGTAACAAGAATGTCTGTTTTATTCAAGACTTGGGCACCAAATCAACAGGGCCTAATCTGTAAACTTCATGTGTTGGACAAGAGTTCAGTAAAAACAACTGTGTCACGAGAGAAAGTGAAAAGCTACCCTAGTTTCATGTCTCTCATGCCTTGTTTAGATGTGTTTTCCCTGTGTTTCAAAAGCAGACTGCACGGGCTGCAGAGGGGTTCAGTGAACTCGGCTCATCCCTCTGTCCCTGGGCTGCCTGCGGAGGCGCAGCACTGAGAGGCCGCCCTTCCCCTCTGCAAGCAAAACCACTCTGAGCACTTTGCAAAGGAGCCTTCCGAGAGCACAACAAACCCCTGAAATAAAACAGCTGCTCTCGTGCAACAAGTCCCAGGGCCAAGAGCCTATTTCATAAAACACCACAGTTTCATGTCCTCCTATCTTAAACTAAACTCACTGTTTTAAGTCTACTACCAAACCAAACCACACTCTGCAGCTGTTGACAAGTTCACCAATTTCTATTTCGCTGTTTGTAGTGTTTTCACAGAAGCATCCACTACCATAATTTCAAACTGGCTGAAAACTGCGATAAAGCTGATCATTATTTTAAAAGCTACAGCATCAGCTCTTGGATGTACTTCACTACACAGAAATCTGTGAATACATTTCATACAGTAACAAGTTATATCTAAAATAAGGAAATACAATATTACATTATGATAAGTGAAAGAACACTATCAGTATGTCTTTAGAATTTAATACATTAACATTCAATGTAACTCTACTACAGGATTCTAAGTGATTACAGCCAAGATTTAAAAACAGGCATGCTGCTTTTACTTTCAAGCATTAAAATACCTGAAGTGATTTCTATCAATTTAAAAATCACTCAGTGATTTAAAAAAATACTTTAAAAGTAATGTCTCAGAGAAGTGAGGGAGGAAGTTCATTTTTCTGTCTCTATTCTAGCACACAGACTTTATTAAGATAATGTCCCTTTTTTTTCCTGTTTACTCCTTTCTGGGACACAGGTTTTAAGCCCGGGGTTCAGTTGTGAAAGCTGGAGAATCCAGCAGGAAAGGCGAGCAGGAGGCAGCTAGCAAAGGCCCTGAACCTCCTGGGTTTCAACAGAGCCCGCCATCTCCAACACCTCACTTGGAAAACAGCACTTTTAAAACTCACAGTCACATCAAAAGTTTTGCGTTAGCAAAAAAGCAATCTGAAAGCTCCCAGCATTTATGGGAAATGCAGGATCAGCAGGGCCACACTCCCACGGAGCCAACACCTTCACCTATCAGCACACCTTACCTTTATCCTCCCCAGGCTCGAGAACTTCTCCTTATCTTCAACCACCGCTTTCAGGACGGGCTGGGACATTCTGTTCTTCTTCTTGCACTCGGCGGAGCCGTCCAGGTCCACGCCGCTGACCACGGCCCGGCGGTAGGACGTGGAGCGGAGCCCGCGCCGCAGCGCGCCCGGGCCGCCCTCGGGCTCGTCCTCGGGGTCGCTGCCCAGGGCCGGCCGGGGGGTCTCCACCAGGCTGCGCGCCTTGAGGCCCCGCTCGTGGCCCTGGGCGCGGCCCGCGGGCCGGCCCTCGGCCAGGCTGCGGGGGATCAGCTGCTGCGAGCCCACCCTGCGCGCCGCGGGGCTGTGCGTGCTCAGCAGCGCGGGGGGCGATCCGCTCCCGAGGGACCCCGCCGGCTCCTGCGGGGGCGCTCCCGGCTCCTCCGGGGGCCCGGCAGCCCGGGGGCCGCGTCCAGGGGATCCTCCCGGCTCCTGCGGGGGCCCGGCAGCCCGGCCGTTCCTAGGGGATCCTCCCGGCTCCTCCGGGGGCCCGGCAGCCCGGGGGCCGCGTCCAGGGGATCCTCCCGGCTCCTCCGGGGGCTCACCAGCCCGGGGGCACGGTGCGGGCTGAGCGCTGGCTCCGAACACGATCCGCTCCTGCTGCGGGGCCAGCGCGGGCAGCCCCGCTGTCCTGGGCGGCCGCGGCCGGCGGCCCTGCCCGCTGCCCGGCGGGGAGACGGTGCCGTTGGCGGTCGAACCGACGGGGCTGTCCGGTGGCAGGGCGAGCAGCTGGGAGCGCCGCTCCGGGGACAGCGCGGGGGAGCCCGGCGGCCGCACGGTCCCGTTGGACACCGATCCCATGGCGGGGCTGCCGGTGCCGGCGGGCCGAGTCGCGGGGAAGGCGCACCTGTCCTCCACGGGGAAGTCGGTGACGAGCACTCCGCTGGGGCTCTGGTACGACTGCGGCCGCGGCTTGCTCCAGGCGAGCGGCAGCGGGCGGGGGGTCGCTCGCCGCCTCCAGCGCGGCGCGGCGGGGCCCGCCGGGGGCTGCCCGTCCATGGCCGCCCGCCCGGCGCCGCTCGCCAGGGAGGCGGGCGCGGAGCGCGGCTCGTCCGCCGCCACAGCCCCGCCGGGCGCGGGGCCAGCGCGGGCCGGGCCGGGCGGGGAGGGCCGGGCAGAGCCGCACCGCCCGCTGCCGGTGCCGCTCCCGCTCCCGCCCCACCTGCGGCTCGGCTGGGGGCGGGCGGAGCGGCGCTTCCGCCGCCGGCACAGCCCCTGCCCCGCCTGGGCCCTCCCCTGGCCCGCGCAGGTACCGCGGGTCCGGCTGTGTCCCGGCTGTGCCCGGGCCCGCGGGGTGAGCTCTGGGCAGGAGCCGGCCGCGTTACCGCCACTCGGGTGAGGAGAGCCGCGGGCAGCGCTCCCCGGCCCCCGGCTGGCGGCAGCGGCAGCCCGGTGCTTCCCGCGGCGGGACCCGCGGGTGTCCTGCCGGGAAAGGTGCTGGACTCCGCGCTTGTTACTCGGCAGTGCCACCAGCCGCGCCTCAGCCGTGCGGTGGTGCCACCATCGGGAACCCCCGGCTGTGCCCCCTCACCTGCCCGTTCTGTACAGGCACCTGGCCGGCTGGCGCTGCCGTACTGCCGGCAACGAGCTGGGAGAAAGCTGCGAAAGGAACCGCTTCGTGGTAAAAAAATGGGGCGTCGACAAAGTAACTGCTGGGAATTCTGACAGACTACATCACCCTGAAAAACCTGTGTCTGTAAAAATGGTGAAACTTGGCTGCGACTTTGGGACAACATACAACTTCAACATATATCAGTGGAGAGCAAAGTAGATTTTAAAAAGGAAAACAAAATATATGCTCGTTTCTGTGCCAGGGCAGGAGTTCTGTCGACTCTAGCAGCCCAGGCAAGGGTCTCGGCACTCTCAGGAGGTGAGAGCTTCAGCACAGAGTCCTGAAATAAAGAGACACGGGCATTTTTCTGCTCTGTTACATGCAGTAATGATTACAACATGCCCTTATTTTGCTCTCTGCTCCTCTACAGTTAAAATCTGCCTCTGCTTCCACTGGAAAAAAATAAGGAGTCCTGTGTTTTAAGAGCCATTTTGTCACAGCACAGGGAGCATCCACATGAGAAATTAGCTCCAATATTAAACGCCACATTGGCTAGGAATCTAAAATACAATATAGAATGCTTCCCTAGTACTGAATCACGAAGCTGGATTATTTGTCTGTCTCAAATGCACGAAAGGCAAAACCTAGGTGTGATTCTGCTCCTGTGTAATTGGCAGAGCAGAAATAGCTGGAATGTTTGGAGGTGCTGGAGGGCAGGCCCTGCCCGCACAGTGACAGCTCTGCCGTGCAAAGGGTACTCAAAAAACCACTTGCTTATTTACAGATGAGCACCTGCTTAGGCTCCTGGCTGAACTTGAAGGGAGAAGGGACAGAAAAATATTGTTAGATTTGTAATTGTCCTCTCCATACTTGCAAGACTTGAATTTGCCAGATTTCTTATATCACTGAATAGGATACAAAATTGGAGTAGATTGAAAGAGCTTTCTTGTCTTTTTAAATATATGAAAATTTAATTTATACTGAGTCTGTTAACAATCAGAAAAAAATATAGAGGAAAATGTAAGGACCAGACAACTCTGTGTACATCCACTTAAACTTCAGATGTATTATTAATTCTTCTGCCAGAAGAACCCAGTAAAACAAAAAATCTTGCTAAGAATCCAATTAAGCAATGCAGAAAGAAATTAAAATGAACAAATGTGTATGTCCACAAATGAGACAAGACTGCAAATTGCCACTCCATCTTCAAACAGTCAGAGCTGAAGGGAGAAGCCACAGGCAGAACCTAAGATGCTGGTTTAGTTGTCACTTGGGATTTCCCAATGAATTATTTCTAAAATTATCTCTCAACTTTCCACATGCAATTACCAAGGTGTTGGATATAGTTGCAGCATATTACTTAACTCATAAATCCTAATTATTAATGACTGAGGTAATCAGCTTTTACAAGATTATTCTCTTGCACATAGTTATTCACTGCGCTACAATTACAGGAATAATTTTGATTCTTGAACAGCCACCTCAGTGTTCCATTTCATGCACAGTGAAAGAGAAACAAAACCTTACAATAAAATTGCCATCATAAGAAAAGTAAAATCAACTGTGTAATTTAAGAGAAGAAAGAAATGTACACGCTGTTATTAAACCTTCTGACAAAGGCAGGGATTCACTGAAATCCCAAACTCAGGGCCCAGGCGGGGCAGCGAGTCCTTCCCTGGGGCAGCTCCCTGCCCAGCACACAGTGCTGCACCCTTGGGATGGGGGCAGGAACCTGCAGGGCAGCTTTCCACCCATTGCACAGCACTCCAGGTAACCCCGATGTGGACCTTGAGCATCTGTGAGGGAGAGCTCCCATTTACCGGCCACAGGACCTGAAAGCTGGTGTCAGGAATCGGCACCTAACCAGAAGCATGTCCATACCTGCCTGCAGGCAAACACTCTGTGATACCCAGAGCCCGTGTTTATCACAACCAGCATGAGGCAGGTGTGCATAGATATGTTCAGTGGGGAACATTTTTATTGCCTGAAAATCTACCAAGGAAAATGGAGGATTCTTCTTCTTCTCCCTACATCCACATCAAAAGCACACTTTGCCTCTCTGTGCAATCAAAGAGCAAATCCAGCAGTGAGACCTGGCTTTATTTATGAGCCAAATGCTTCATGTCTCAAGCACAGTGTCCTGTAGGACGGCCCTGGCCATGTCCTGCTGTGCAGGTGGCCCTGGCTGCTGGCTGGGGCCCAGGCCCTGCTGCCCCTGGGCTCCCCAGGGGCATTCCAGCACATCTGTCCCCTCTGTGCTCCCCAGGGCCATTCCCAGCACATCTGTCCCCTTTGTGCTGCCCAGGGGCATTCCCAGCACATCTGTTCCCCTCTGGGCTCCCCAGGGGCATTCCAGCACATCTGTCCCCTCTGTGCTCCCCAGGGGCATTCCCAGCACATCTGTCCCCTCTGGGCTGCCCAGGGCCATTCCCAGCACATCTGTCCCCTCTGTGCTCCCCAGGGGCATTCCCAGCACATCTGTCCCCTCTGTGCTCCCCAGGGGCATTCCCAGCACATCTGTCCCCTCTGTGCTGCCCAGGGGCATTCCCAGCACATCTGTCCTCTCTGGGCTGCCCAGGGCCATTCCCAGCACATCTGTCCCCTCTGGGCTGCCCAGGGGCATTCCAGCACATCTGTCCCCTCTGGGCTGCCCAGGGCCATTCCCAGCACATCTGTCCCCTCTGTGCTGCCCAGGGGCATTCCCAGCACATCTGTCCCCTCTGGGCTCCCCAGGGGCATTCCAGCACATCTGTCCCCTCTGGGCTGCCCAGGGGCATTCCCAGCACATCTGTCCCCTCTGGGCTGCCCAGGGCCATTCCCAGCACATCTGTCCCCTCTGTGCTCCCCAGGGGCATTCCAGCACATCTGTCCCCTCTGTGCTGCCCAGGGGCATTCCCAGCACATCTGTCCCCTCTGGGCTCCCCAGGGCCATTCCCAGCACATCTGTCCCCTCTGGGCTCCCCAGGGGCATTCCCAGCACATCTGTCCCCTCTGTGCTCCCCAGGGGCATTCCAGCACATCTGTCCCCTCTGTGCTCCCCAGGGCCATTCCCAGCACATCTGTCCCCTCTGTGCTGCCCAGGGCCATTCCCAGCACATCTGTCCCCTCTGTGCTGCCCAGGGGCATTCCAGCACATCTGTCCCCTCTGTGCTCCCCAGGGCCATTCCCAGCACATCTGTCCCCTCTGGGCTGCCCAGGGCCATTCCCAGCACATCTGTCCCCTCTGTGCCTCCCAGAGAGGGGAGGGCTGCAGTGGCTCCAGGACAAGTGCCCAGTTGCTGGTTAATCCCCAGAGGAATTGCCTGCATGTCCCATCGGTACTGACTGCCAGCTAGGGATAGCACTGTAAATTAGATTCTTCTGAAACTCTCCTGTTTCCCTGGCCTGTTCACAGGCAGCTGAAGAGGCAGCGTGCTCTGCTCAGAGCATTCCCTGTCCCAGAATTAGCATGCAGGGCATAAGGCTCCCTCTGTCCCACAGAAACCCTTCCCAAGCCCAGCAGTGACAGGGGTCACCCCAAGCAAAGAAAAGACGAGGTGTCAGTGTGACAGAGCCAGCACTGGGGACGTCCCTGTCACTGGTTTCGCTGCTTTTCCAGGGACACGAGCCAAGGCAGTGGAGCCTCCTTCCAATGCAAGCAGCAGCATTTTCCCAAGGAGGACACGGTTACTCCAGCAACACAGGCAGTCCCTCAGCAGTGCCAGAGCTCAGGGAGGGTCGAGCCTTCCGACCTCCTGCCCCCTCCTTCTTTTCTCTACAACTGTACGTAGGCTGTGAGAGACTTTACTGTGAACACTGCTCAGCCAAATTATAACTGTAAATCAATCCAAGGTGGCAGAAGACATTTAATCATTCCTATTTTCCTCTTAATTGTTTTTTTTTTTTTTGGTGTTGCTAAAATACTCAGCAATAATAGAAAGCTTTGCAGCATTCACTAAAAGCTTTAGGGGAAAAGCACATCTCACTGTGCTGCAGGAATAAAGGACCTGGTAATGCCCATGGAGCATCAAAGTTGAAACAAGATGCTGTTTTACTGCTGAACTGGCATGAAAGAAAAAGAGTAAGAAAGAATGTGTACCCAAGAAACACAACTGAGGACTGAGGTGCTGCTGTCTCTGTGACTCTTGTCACGGAGGTTACAAATTCTTGTCTACGATTGTAAAATGAACTTTGTATTTGCTGATATTTAGACTGATATTACTTGTTTCCCAGCTGATTTCCTGTCTCTTCCTTTCCTCCTCAGAGGTGGGTGCAGAGATTGTCTCCTCTGTGAGAGAAGGAGGGAGCCTGGCAGCTCTAACATTTGTAGAGCTGACAGGGAATTTTCCAACTGGAAGTATTTGAGATTTCAATATGGTAACTGTATTTTGTGTGTGTGCATTTCATATTTTGATGTGAAAAACATTTCCCACCTCGCTTGAATTATATGTTCTTCTTTGGTTTTGCT